ATATATGCGAGCAATATATTTTTAACGCAATATCTTGCGCAAACGCAATTATAACTTTTGCTAATGGAGAATTTATATCTTTTAATACATCGTATGAAGCATTACTCACTCATATATTTGATGACTCTATACAGTATCGAATGGTATCGAAAATATATTAATGAAAAATACAGAACGTGGATTATTTATATTCAGTGTTAATGTAAGCTGTATTCTTTTTTCTTTATTAAACATTAAGGAAATCAAATGAAATGCTGGTTATTATTTTCTGCAAATTTTCATGCAGTGTTAAGTGTGTTTGCACTTGATGTGTTTGCTCCATGTAACATGTGAAGTGTCCCATTTTATTGCAAATATCTTGTAGATAACGTCGAAAATATTTCGGATCAAATTTATTTGGTATAAGGCTATATCACATTTGTCATACGATAAATTCTTTAAACATATTAATTGGCTGCAGAATAAAAAGTTTCTGAAGAATCAATAAATTACTATCCCGCAGCAAATCAAATATTCTTAAAAAAATTGGTCGTATGACAAATGTAATATTAGCTAAAAGGAGAACAATGATATATATATTAATTTGATCCTTAAATATATGTACAAAATAATATGAAGATTAACACGTGTATGTATGTATATATATATATATAATATATATATATATATATATATATATATGTTCTGAAAAGAGAATATAAAATATCTTGATCTAAAAATCTAAATTAATTTTCTTTAATAATCTTTAAAATAAGAAATAAAAAAAATCAAAAAGAATTCTTTTAAATATTATTTTGTGTTGTTAAACATATATTTACTTTTGTGTTAAATTATTTTGAAGATTAGCCAATAAATAATAAATTTCCTTTCTAATTATTATCGTGTATAGAATAAATCACTATGAAGTAAAATGCTGCTGCATTTACGAGTTAAAAAAGGATACATATGTAAATTGCTTGTCAAATCAACATTTTATATATTTGGTAATCGTCTTCGTTAAATCGACATTATAATTTATTTAAAAAAAAACCATTTTACGTAGCAAAACCTTTCAAGGAAGCAGTAATATGTTACCGCATTCTATTTTTGTGTCCATGATATTATTTAATATATAAACTTATATATGATTAATAATTGTTTCGACGTTTGATTATTGGTATATTATTCTCAAACTAGATTATACTTCTATCAATCTCTTTAAAAATTTGCCATTATTAAATTTATTAATATTTGGAAATAAGAGTGAAGTAATTAGAATTAGTATTTGGAAATAAGATTGAAAGAATATATATTTATATATAGTACATAAAATTGCAGAAATTTTTAATGGACATATATGCATATTTATCTTTTCTTTATATGTATAGATCTATGTGTGTGCATGTATGTGTGTGTGTGTGTGTGTGTGTGTGTGTGTGTGTGTGTATGTGTGTATTATGTTAATTATGTTATGTTAATTTAAACATGTAGCCGATAAATAATGAATTATCCTAGTTCATTATTATCGCGTAGAATAAATCACTGTAAAGTAGGATACTGCGGCATTCGTGAGCTAAAAAGGATGCGAACTATTATAATTAAACTACTCGATAAGTCTGTTAGTTCGACATTATAATTTGTTTTAAAAAAAAGCTTTTAATTTTACCGTAGCAAAACCTTCCAAGGAAGCAGTAAATATGCCACCGCATTTTATATTGATATCCACTATTCCTTCTTGCATTATAAATAATAACATTTTCTGTGTATGCAGTGGTGCTGCGTACCACATTCCATTATAACTGTAAATTTTAATGAAATAAAAAATTAGCAAAAAACTTAACATATTTTTGTAATCTAATTATTATATTAACTATATATTTAAAAGTATTAAAAAATATTTTATACAATTGATTTATTATAAACCAAAATTAACAGATGGATTTATGTGAGAATCGGTACGCATGAAGTTGCCAAAAAAAACACTACTCACGTTGCTTTGAACAGCTTTATTCCATGATCTGTTATTATTTGTCCCGCATAATTGGCACAGAACATATAAGTTAAATGAATCAAAATTAACAAAGCAAATACGAATATCTCTGTGACATTACCCGTTAATGTTATCAATTGAAGAAACTACAATGAAATGGTACTTAAAGAAAATTCAATTAAACAAAATAGATAAGAAAAAATATTGCTTACTTGTAAAAGAGTTAAACTTAAAGAGCTGACACCAATTAAGATCAGAATAGCAAATAATACAGCAAATTCAGATGTGAAAAACTTAGTAAACCTGCAACGAGAAGTATTAGAATTGTTATATTATCAATAAAAAATTGTTACATTATCAATATAGATAGATGCAAACATTGATATATTCATTTTTTTTCCATGTGATAAATAAATGTGATTCTGATTGTACGTTTAATCCTCATAGTAATTATCTATATAAAGTTCCACTTCAAAAAGATAATATATTTTTAACAATCTAAATATGTATGTTTATCAAATACATATTTGAAAGAAATTGCAAATCTTTAATATATTTTCATTTTTTGAAAGATATTTAATTTTAATTTTAATTGCTCGTAAAATTGTGATTTCACTTAATGTAAAAATATATTAATAAACAATTTAATATTAAACATGTAGTAACATGTGTAACAATAACGCGATTTTAAGAGTTAAGAATAACACAAAAAAACGGAGTGCAAAGTTTTATAGCAATAAAAAAATAAAACCACTCACTCGATGGCTCTACGATGTACAATAACTGCATGTACAATCCTCTGGTAAAGGAGATGCTCTCTTTTAGGATCAGATATTGCTAATATGTTCCACTTCATCGCATTTTCTATATGATGACTGTATAAATCCATTTAGACATAAGATTCGATTTAAGAAACAAGTGCAATTAATATTACCTTGCGATATTAAATAGAGCACATATATGTAGGAGAAACATTAAGAATGTCGAACTGGCGCTACACACTGTGACTCCTGCTATGGATATAGCTAGGATATGATGTAATAGTATTGCGTATACATATTTCTCTTGATTGAAAAAATATTCCGTAACGATAAAAAATTGCCAAGAACGTGACTCGTTCAAAGGTAATATAAAATCAAATATTAGCGGAAAAGTTTGAAGTATTACGGCCACGGTTAATACAAAACAGCATAAGCCTGAGAAAAATCTAATTGATGTCAAAGTCTAATTTATACCTAAATACAAAAGAATTTAAACGACATTTCATATTGAATATATATTCAAATATTTTTTATCTTGTTAATTACAAAGATCACAAAAAATTATGATTGATAATTGAAAAATTGATATTATACATACTACATATATTATATTGATGTTATCTTTATTACAAACTATACGACTATATATACAGAGTGTCCGAAAAATCCCGGACCGGTCGAATATTTCATAAACTGCACTTTAAAAAGAAATGTTTCAGATAAAAGTTGTATGGCTTGAAGGGGACCATCAGATAGTGGCAATGATTTGATCCTGGAGAGTCATTTGAAGGTGACGTAAAGGTCACCTTCAATTTCTTAAATAGAACCTACATTTTCTCATATTCTAGCTTATCTCGAGAGCTTTCCAAAACACTATAATAAAGTATTTCTTCATTGAGTATTTTTCGAGTTATGAGGCTTAAATAATTTCTTAATTCTACATAAATCATAAAATATCTAGTAAAATATTCATTTTTCGATTATTTTACCTTAATACTTTTATGCACAAAATAATGAGAGGAATCAATTGGTGTAAGGAAAACACATAGTTGTTTTAAAAAAAAAAATGTAATTGTTAATTGCAAATTACTATATAATATTTTTTTCTTAAAAACAACTATGTTTTTTCTTTACCAATTGATTCCTCTCATTATTTTGTACATAAAAGTATTAAGGTAAGATAATCGAAAAATGAATATTTTGCAAGATATTTTACGATGTAAAATTAAAAAATGATTTCAAGCCTCACAATTCGAAAAGTACTTAATGAAAACTAACTTAATTATAGTGTTTTGGGAAGCTCTCGATGTGAGCTACTAGAATATTTAATAAAAAATAGGAAGTTCCATTTAAGAAATTGACGGTGATCTTCACGTGACTTTCAAATGACTCTCCTATGTCAAATCATTGCCACTATCTGATGGCCTCCTTCAAGCCATACAACTTTTATCTGAAACATTTCTTTCTAAAGTGCATAGTTTATGAAATATTCGACCGGTCTGGGATATATATATATGAAAGATGCAGTAACATTACTATTCTTACCCATCAGAATTATTGAAATAAGTCTCGCGATATAAGAATATTTCTTTATAATATCAATTTCCAGTTTATCTTTAAAAAATTTCCAGTTGTCTCGGTGCCGCTCCAGCATTTGCTTCACCTATTTATTCCACTTTTCCTTATACCTTTCTTTATATTAAAATACAATTTGTTGTATCAAGGTTACAACAATATGTTCGAAAAAAATTCTCTTATACTGTTTTAAACTTACACTGTTCGCTCGTATAATAAAAAAGCAATACTTTACAGTGCCGAAAAGAATAGGCAAGACAAATGAAAGAATCTTGAAAAGAAGGTTCGTGTTGTATTGCGTAGTGATGAATAGTAGTAACTAAGAACAACATATATATTTAGAAGTTGTAATAATAAATTATTTCTACCTATCAACAAAATATATTTTACACATGCTAGAATGCATTTCATTAATTTCATATTATTTTATCCCAAAAATGAATTCAAATGACGTAAATTAAAAAAAAATTACATAATATATATTTATTATATAATTATTAATAAAAGTTTATTAATTATGTAGAATAATTGATAAAGATTTTACTAACGCTCTAGAAAGAGTAGAGCGCCATAAGCTAAATTAAAAAGTTCTTTATCATTTTATAATATCTTGCAATAATCTTTGAAATAAATTAATTAAAAAAGATGTGGCAAATAAGCGTATCTATGATGCAGCTAAAATGTGAGATGTGTGGTCTAGACTTGCCAGCATCGAATATTGCATAATAATGAAAAAACAAAAATCCAAAAATGCATAGCCAAACATTTACTCCTTGACGACTCCTTTACAACTTCTTAAATTAATTTTTTTATATAAAGATAATTCATATAAAATTTTATTTTATATATTTTATTCGTAGTATTAGATTTATTTATTAAAATGTACATTTAATATAAATGTCATCATTTACTCAAAAATTATAAGTAGGTTGATATACCTGGACAAGAATAAATGTTGAAAGAATAATGATAAAAAACAGTTTTTGCATTCCCGCGAAATATAATTGCTGATAAGGCCATAAACCAAGTATCTTAAGAACTATTCGATTGATCTTGTTGTAATATTCTTCTGTTACGTGCATCTTATACAAGAGTTGCGACACAACTACGACACAGACCTTATATTTTCGCATTATTTCGTTCAAAACTGTTCATAAATTTTTCAAATTGATATTATCATACAACGATAATTATAGTAAAATAGTGGTTATAGCTTTCTAACAATAGGAGATAAATTATTCATATTCATGATATAGGCAAAGGTGAATTAATCGAAATTATCTTAATTTGAAAATATTGTTAAAATGTATCATATTAAAAATTGTTGTGCGTAAATTGCAAATTGTAATTGCTATAATTTCTTGTTCGATTTTCAACTGAAAAAAAGTTTCAGTTTTTATCGGTGCATCTTAAGAAGTGTTACTCACTTTATATCATAGAGAAAGGGAGAAGGAAAGGGGGAGAGGGAGAGAGAGGGGAGAGAGAGAGAGAGAGAGAGAGAGAGAGAGATTACACAAGGTAAAGCGTAAATTATATTTAAAAAAAAACATTCAAGGTAATTCACTCGTGTTCATTATACATATACATATACATACATACATACATATATATATATATATATATATATATATATATATATAATCTATAATCGCGGCTTTCATTTTTTAGTTATATTTTTTTAAGAAAGTTATAGACCAGTTATAGAAAGTTATAAATCAAAATATCATCAAAATTATTATATAGTGACAGATGAGTTTGATCGATCTTTATTATAACATGTATGCTTACTTATTAAAATAAGTATTTATATAAAATTTTAATTACAGCAAAATATGTTGCATTGTGTCATATGTGTAATTTGAAAAAATATATAAAAGAAAAAAATAATAATAACATTATTATTATTATTATTAAATGTTGCAAAAAAATAATTACCTAATCTAATTCCGACATGTTTCTCTTTGATGGATTATCTATTTATTAGCATAATTTAGCATAATTCTATTTATGAGCATAATTTAGTATTGTATAATTGTTAAGAGTAAAATAATATATTTATTTAATATATTACTTTAGTTATATCAAAATTTACAATGCTCAAATGTTGTGCATAACTATATTCATTTGAAACAGATCTACTCGAATAATGAATTTTGATTTCACGATTTATTACCTAATAAAATTACTATAAAATAAGATAACACTATAATAGTGAGCCGAAAAAGATACATAAAGCTTGTATATTGCACATTAATTAGATTTTCTTTTGTTATCAAAAAATGTTTAATTTTACCATAGCAAAACCTTCCAAAGATGCAATATGTTTTCACATTTTACGGTAATATTTACCGTATTTAAAGATACCGTATTTAAAGATACCGTATTTAAAGATTGAAATTTAAAGAGCTGAACTATGATCATATTAGCATTTGATTTCGACTTAATTTTTTATATACATATAGAAGAATGTATGCTCTATGATATAAAATATGAATAATATATAGATTCTTCTTATTCTTCAAAGATTGTGCTAATAAAATTTATCAATGAAACAAATCTACTACATTAATATACACAAATTTAACATTTTGCATTCCTATCGTTTTAATTAATTTAAACATAAATAAGAACATGATAAGTTTTCAGCAATATTTGCAATTAGCTTAAATAATGTATAAATAAAAAATTAATAAATTAATAAAATTGAAGGAAATATATGTTTAAAAAAATATATTGAACTATATAATTACTTATTAATTAATTGTACTACATTCATGTTATTATTTAAGTTCATTAAAATAATCGTTTCGACATTTGATTATCGATATGTTGCTTTCAAACTAGATTAGACTTCTAGTAATATCTTCAATTTGATTTGCCTATTTATTAGTATTTAGATCAAAATAAATATTAAAAGATTGAAAGTATATATATTTATATTTATATTTTACATTAAACTGCAGAAATTTGTAATACATATATATATATATATATATATATATACGAGTATATATATATAGATATAGATATATTCATCTTTTCTTGTGTGTGCATGTGTATATCTATTTGCGCGCACGCGCACTGTTAATTTAAAGATTTAGATAAATAATGAATTATTCTTCCTAGTTCGTTATTGTCGCGTAGAATAAATCACTGTGAAATATGATACTGCGGCATTCGTGAGCTAAAAAGGATACAAACATTAAACTACTCATTAAATCTATGTTAATTTGATATACTTGGTTTTTAAAAAAGAATTTTAATTTTACCATAGCGAAACCTTCCAAGGAAGCAGTAAATACGCTCCCGAGTCTTAAATTGACGTTTATCATTCCTTTTTGCATTATAAATAATAACATTTTCTGTGTATGCAATGGTGCTGCATACCACATTCCATTATAACTATAAATTTTAAATGTTTGTGAAATATAGTAATAATGGTAAATGAAATAACTAGTAAAAAACATTAAAACAAAACATGTTTTTGTAATCTAATTATTAAATTAATTATATGTTTAAAAGTATTAGAAAAATATTTATATATAATCGATTTAAATTAGTTTTAAGAAATAGATTTATGTCAGAATCAATATAAATATAATTGCAAAAATAAAACACACTACTAACGTTGCTTTGAACAGCTTTATTCCATGATCTGTTATTATTTGTCCCGCATAATTGGCACCGAACATATAAGTCAAATGAACCAAAATTAACACAGCAAATATGAATGCTTCTGTGATATTATTCGTTAATGTAATCAATTGAAGAAACTACGATGAAATGCTACTTAAAAAAAATCAATTAAGCGCAAAATAGATAAGAAAGATATTACTTACTTGTAAAAGAGTTAAACTTAAAGAGCAGACGCCAACTAAGATCAAAATAGCAAATAATATCGCAAATTCAGTTGTTAAGAATTTAGTAAACCTTCAACAAAATGTTAAGTATTAGAATTTTTATATTATCGATGTAGATAGGCATAAATTTTGATATATTCAGTTTTCTATGTTCTCGTGATAAATATATGTGATTCTGACCTGTGATGTATTCTTTATATTTAATTGCCGCACATTTATCTATATATAGTTTTATATTTCAAAAATATGTTTTCAAGAATGTAAATATGTACTTTCATCAAACACATATTTGAAACAAATTGCAAATTTTTAACATATTTTTATTTTTTTCTGAATGTACTTAATTTTAATAATAATTTAATTGCAATTTTAATTTTAATAAAGTTTTATTGTGATGCATTTAATGCAAAAATATATTAATAAACAATTTAATATTAAACATGTAACAATAACGCAGTTTTAAAATCAATCAACTGTTTTTTTAGTGAATTAAGAATAATATAAAAAAACAGAGTGCAAAGTTTTATAACTATAAAAAAATAAAACCACTTACTCGATGGCCCTACGATGTACAATAACTGCATGTACAATCTTCCGATAAAGGAGATGCTCTCTTTTAGGATCAGATATTGCTAATATGTTCCACTTCATCGCATTCTCTATACGATGACTGTATAAATCCATTTAGACATATTTCGATTTAACAAACAAGTGTAATTAATATTACCTTGCGATATTAAACAGCGCACATATGTGTAGGACAGACATTATGAATGTCGAACTGGTACTACACAACGTGATTGCTGCTATGGCTATAGCTAGGCTATGATGTAATAGTATAGCGTATACATATTTCTCTTGATTGAAAAAGTATTCCGTGGCGACAAGAAATTGCCAGGGACGTGATTCGTTCAATGGTAATATAAAATCAAATATTAACGGAAAAGTATGAAGTATTAGGAGCACGGGTAATGCAGCACAGCATAAGCCTGAGAAAAATCTAATTGATTTCAAAGTCTAATTTATACCTAAATACGAAAAGAATTTAAACGACATTTCATATTGAATATATATTCGAATACTTTTTATCTCGTTAATTACAGAGATCACAAAAAACTTATGTAAAAAATTGATGTTATACATACACATTATCGCATACATATACTATATACTGACATTACCTTCGTTACAAATTATATCACTACATATATGGGACCGTAACATTACTATTCTTACCCATCAGAATTATTGAGATAAGTCTCGCGATATAAGAATATTTCTCTATAATATCAATTTCCTGTTTATCTTTAAAAAATTTCCAGTTGTCTCGGTGCCGCTCCAGCATTTGCTTTACCTATTTATTCCACTTTTCCTTATACCTTTCCTTATATTAAAATACAATTTGTTGTATCAAGATTACAACAATATCTTCAAAAGAATTATCCTTATACTGTTTTAAACTTACACTGTTAGCTTGTATAATAAAAAAGCAGTACTTTATAGTGGAGAAAAGAGTAGGTAATATAAATGAGAGAATCTTGAAGAGGAGGTTCGTGTTGTATTGCGTGGTGATGAATAGTAGTAACTAAGAATACACACATTTAGGAGATGTAATAAATCATTTCTATCGATCAACAAAATGCATTTTACACTTGCTAGAATGCATTTCATTAATATTTTTTAATTCAAAAATAAACCTAGATGATATAAATTAAAAAAACTTATATTAATAGACATTTATTATACAATTATTAATAAAATTTTATTAATAATTATATAGGTTGTTTGAGATAAAAGATCTTACTAAGTTCTAAAGAGAGTAAAGTGCAGTTAGTGAGAAAATTCTTTTACCATTTTGAAAATTTTGCAATAATTATTGAAATACTAATTAAAAAGGATGTGGCAAATGAGCGCGTCCATTGTGCGGTTAAAGTATGAAATGTATGCCAGCATCGAATGTCACACGACAACGAGAAGATAAAAATCGAAAAACGTATGAATAAATGTTTCCATGTGACACTTACTGACATACCTAGAGCATACATTTCGGTCTAAGCTCGCGGAAGCATGCTCATTTATCAGTTCCTTTTAATTCTAATAATTATTGTGAAAATTGTTAAGTAGTAAAGGACTTTTCTTCGCAGTTTACTCCATTTTTTTATCCCTCACGAAAGTTAATCCAATCCTTATCAACCATCCATTTTTCTAAATATCTTTTATAATTTTTGAAATAATTCTAAACTTTTTAGTTTATATCATTTGTGTACGTATGCGTGTACTTATAACCGCTATCGAAATGAATTCGATAATATATACAATGATACAATTTTATTTATGATTGAAAAACTATAAATATAAATATTATTGATTTGACAACTTTTAAAATCAATCCCTTTATGTAAAAATAATTCATAAAAAAATTTTATCTTATGTGTTTTATTAACATTATCAAATTTATTTATTTAAATGTCCACTTAATGTGAATCACATCATCATTTAGTCAACAATTATAAATATAGATTGATATACCTGGACAAGTATAAATGTCGAAAGAATAAAGACAACAAACAGTTTTTGTATTCCCACGAAATACAATTGCTGATAAGGCCATAAACCAAGTATTTTAAGAACTATTCGATTAATCTTGTTGTAATACTCTTCTTTCGCGTGCATCTTGTACGAAAGTTGTGATAGAACTATGACATAGACTTTACATTTTCTTATTATTATGGATTATTTCTTTTCTTATTATTATGGATTATTTCTTTTAAAATTACTCATAAATTTTTCAAATGATCGATATTATCACATAATGATAGCTATAATAAAATGGTGGTTATAGCTTTCTAATAGTGGGCGACAATTTATTCATGATATAACTGAAAGTGAATTAACCGAAATTATCTCAAATTGAAAACAATGTTAAAACTTATGATATTAAAAACTGTCTTGCGTAAACGCGACCATAACTTCTTGTCATTAGTAAAAAAAGTTTTAATTCTTGTCATTGCATCGGAGAATAGAAAATGTTATTTACTTTATATATTATATTCACTTAATTAGATCATTATATATATATATATATATATATATATATATATATATTCATAATTATATATATAGTATAGAGTGCAAACAAAAGTTATTTAAAAAAATTTGCAGGTAGATTTATTCTTTCATTATTATTATTATATTATTATTGTTATACGTATATAATTTACAACTGTAATTTATTTTTTAATTATACCTTTTTTTAAAGGTACAAATAAAAATGATTCAAATTTTCATATAATGATAGAAAAGTTGTGACTGTTTTAATTATTTCTTACAATATATATGTGTATTTATTAAAATAAATATTTATCTAAATTTTTAATTACTGCAGCATATTTATTATAATTATTTATACTGCAGCATTTTCTAATATGTGCGTGAATTAGAAAAAAAATATAAAATAACAATAATAATAATACATTATTATTACTATTAGTGAATATTGCAAAAAAACATTTGCTTTTTAAATTTATTATTATTTGTTCCCTTTAATTAATCAAATATACGATTGAAATGATTAAAACTCAACATAAAGTGAGTATAGATACCTCACTATTGTCATCAATGTTAATATTAATTAAAGAAATTACAACAGAATGTTCTTCAATTAACAATTTTGATAAACGATTGATTCGATCTATATATATATATATTTCATTTAAGGACATCAGAAAATGTGTAATGATAAATGAAAATGTAAAAAGAACAAATATTTAAATAGTATCTATTTCCTTATTTTCTTATTCTTTTATAAGAAAATAGTAATTCTTATACGAATGTAAAGACGATGTAATTTATACTTCTTAAGAAAAAATTATTTTTTCTTAATGCAATTTTATACATATTCATACTTTACTCACCGCAGAAGTACATGCAGCATTCTTGTTCGATAGTATCTTAGTTCATACTTACCTGAAAATTAAAAAATTATATATTAGTGATAACATAATATGCATATTTAATATATATTGAGATTATATATTTCATAATCACAAAACTTAAAATTTATTATAATAAAAAATTAAAGTAAAAAGATATTTCTGAATCTTTTTAAAGTCTTTTGTGTGTGTATATGGGAGTATGTGTATGTGGGTGTGTGTGTTATAAATGTCATATGTGAAAATTCTTAGATAAAATCCTAATGCATTTATATTAGGAATTTTAATACCTTTCATATTGAATTCCGTTCGAGATGATTGTAACTAATAAATATCGTTACGAATAAATGGACATTTTTTTATCATTATATAATTGCATGAGAATGATATGTGATGCATCAGTTCTCATGTTACCATATGACTCCCTTCATAATCCTTGTATTTTTCACACGCAAGCTAATAAAGGTACAAATTATTTCAATTGCAAGGTTTAGAAAGAGGGTCCTTTTTTCTAGCTAACGCACATGATAATGTTCTCACATTTATTTTCACTGTGAAATTGATACAAATAATTGCAAATAATTTTTCTTTTAATCTTAATATTACAATATTTAGACAATTGTACGTTATTTTTGAATATATTAGAGATTCAATCCTTCCTAACGAAAAGAAATACAAAAGAAATACAAAACCTGAGAAATACCGGAATGAATTAATAATTTAATATACGTTAACGTCTCTATACTCTAAGAATTAATTCAATAAAAATATAATTCTTGTATTTTAATAGCTCAACAAAATAACGCTTAAAAAAATCTCATTGAATTAATTACTAAAAGAGTAATGTGTAAAACTTAACACAATATTAAAATTAAATTATAATCTTCTATATGATGTCTATCAATTAATTTTATTATTTAAATTTAACTGTAAAATCTCGCTTAGAATTTGCACAATATAAAATAATGAAAGATGCGATAACGTTTTTAGTGATTATGTTTAGCACGTTAAATGTTTCCATGTGTGATTTCTATTTATAACTTCTATTAATTTAACATATATTTTTAAATTGTACATGTACATATATATACAAAAAATTATCTATAATCGACATGCTTACATAAAGACACTTTTGTAATAAATTTTGCCATATAGGCGTAATCATCCAACATTGCGAATTCTGCATTATTTTCACAGGATTTTCAATTATATAATATGAGATCCTTTAGTTTCTTTAACTATTAAAATAATGGTTATCGATTTATACAAAAGCAAAATAAAATTTGAGTTGACTTACAAAGTCCATGTTGAAATAGTGTACTCCATATATAATTAATGCCAAGATAGAAGAGAAGATGAGAAAGTACATCAATCAATAGGTTTACAGTGCATTCGTGCGTGATAAACACGACGAACTAAAAATAGTAATGGTATTAACAATATATACATATAATATATATGATAGTAGTCTTTAAATAAAATAATAAGGGATAAATAAAGGAATACCTGAGCAAATAAAAATGACATATATAAACTTATTATATTATAACTTATTATATTATATATTAACTTATTATTATTCCTTGAATATGTTCTCTGATCATATTAAATACATTGTAATCATGATATATTAGACCTTATCTATTACAAGGATTTTTAAACAAAAAAATAAAAATAAGTAAAAATTTTTATTAATAAGCAGTCTAATTAAAAAAAGTCAGCCTTTCTAAATAAAATAATACTTCATTAATTAAATATAATGTAAAACAGAAAAAAATAACTCATTCGACTTTAAAATTTTAAATTACTTTCTCTTATAAAGTAAGTATAATATTACGCTAAGATAATTATAACATTTTCTTTATTCACATAATGTATTATTTTTATTTTGCTTGCAGCATATCTTTGTTTTTAACAAATTTACTAAATCATGGATATGATCATGAATTTGATTTTAGGAATGTCTAAATTTACTTTATGTAAAATCATACTTAATAAATGTAAAAATTGTTTGATAAAATTTAATCTTTCTCCAAAATATTATTTCCTAATATAAACATTAATGTTATGAAAAAATAAAAGTGTAAAATTTTCTAACTTTTCTACTTCTTACAATTTAGTTTCAGACTCACATTATTTTAATCAATTGAATAACGATATTTAAAATATCAAAGTTTTCGTAACTTCACCACACAAGGGAAAATTGATTCATGAAAATAACTTAGAGACACAAATATTAATTCTATCTATATAATATAATGTATATAATATAATGTACAATAAATAAAAGATTTTAGAATTATTATATTTTAGAAATCAGATTTATGTGAGAGAAGAATAATCTTACTATGATTTTAAAAAATCTTCAATTCTTAATACAATTTTAAAAATTATTAAAATAGATTTCACAAGAGAGAGAGAGAGAGAGAGTGTAAGTGATTAAAAAGCTGTAAAAAATTACATTATATTAATCAATTAATCATTAATTAATTAATTAATTAATTTAATTAATTACAATAATTACAATAATTAAATTATATATAAAATTAGTATAATAAATATACAAATATATATAAAAGATATTATCTATACCTGACCATTTTATTAGTGTGTTACTATTATTTTTTGTTCACGTTTTGCTTGTGCATGCATTAGTATAAAGATCTGAGAATAATATCTTATCGTTATTGCATGGAACAAATTACTGTGAAGAAAGATAGCGTTTTGGTAAAAAGCTAAAAAAAAATTTATATTTATATTTTAAAATTGGACTAAATTCTGTCTAGATAATACAAAATCACATGAAAAGCTTCAAAATTGTGCAAAATTATATAAAAACGTTTCAAAATTTATATTTTTTATTTGTTTTTAAATAATTTGTAGTTTTTTGTTTCTTTATTATAATGTTATATTATTACCATAGAAAAACATTCCAGTGATGCCACAAATATGTTCCAAAGAGCTAGTTGAGAACTTTTTATCATTCTTTGCATTAAGAACAGTAGTAACTTTTGTGATCGCAATGGAGCAATATACCATGATATATTACATCTGAAGAATTACAAAGATGTTAATTATACATTTCTTCTAAACATATATATAGTATATATATTTATATATTTGATTATACATAAAATTTGTCTTATATATATAAGTCTTTATATAAAAATTTAATAATTATACATAACAATGATTGTGAAATCAGGATCTCTAATCATGTATTTAATAAAATTGACATTTACAATTTCGTATGTTTTCAATTCTTGGTTTAATTTAATTCTATTATTTGTTGATACTTTTTTATAAAAATATATTTCGATTAAAATTTTACGATGTACTCACAATGCGTAAAAAATGTCGACACTATGATCAGTTATAATTTGTCCCATATAATTGGCCAAAAACATAAAGAGAAAGTGACCAAGTACGATTACAGTGCTTGTAAATAAATCTTTCATGTTTTGTAAAGTAGACGGTAGAAAAAGCTACAGTATTATTGCATGTGTTACAATGATATGATTGATATGATCTTTCAATATGTTAGACGTATATAAAGTTTACTGAAGTAACTAATAATTAAACAAAGTATCATTAAATATACATATACATATACATATAATACACATACACTTACACGATATAAATTAATACTCATGGAAGCAATACCAATAATCATTAAAATAGAAAATGTAAATGTAAAGGTTGACACAATTAAATCAAAAAATCTTAAAGAAAACGATATAAACATTATATTAATAGATTATTTTATGATCTATAAAAATTTAATAATATTTGATATAATATTTAATAAATAGTAAAACAACTTTATATATTATAATAGATCACGTATTTGTTCACACACTATCTATCCATTTTTCGATGGGAAAAAGCAGAAATACTAGTTTCTACATTTTTCTTTTATTTCCAATACCAATATATTAATAGTTTTATAAGCAAATGCGCGATCGAACTTTATTAGCTATAATATTTAACACATATTGCAAATATGCAAATTCTAGTTTTACAAGGTAAGTCAAGAAGAAGAGGGAAATATTTTAGGGAAACGATAATAATATGAATAATTGTAAATAAAAAGTTTATATAAACATGTAGTTATTATTCTTAATATCGGAGATACAACTATTTGAATGTTGCGTGCGCATATCTGTTCTCCACCAGTCTTGATTCCGAACTTGACTTCGTTAGATTATGAGGATAATTGAAAATGTGAATGTTTACCAAACAAAACCAAATATATGAGAAAAATTTATAGATTACGTTCTGAATACTATCGTATAAAAGAACGGCAAATTTATAGTTGCTATCGTTTCCTAAAATATTTCTCTCTTCCCCTGATTCATCCTGTATTTGCGATTATTTTGTATCTCGTAGTATTTATTATTAAAGATTCAATCCGCTACGTACTTTAAAATTCGTCGATGTAAATCTATGGCTCGAATTATTCTGTCGCGTATTATTCGTTCGGTCCGAGGACTAGAATGTTTGAATATCATATTTTTTCTCAATACGTGCTGTATTCGGAAGCTGCGAATTTTCTTGATTATACAATTAATTATACAAGAATTTGATAGAATAATCATAGATATTTCTCACCTAACAATCTTTAACATTCCGCAACCATGTTGTGCGTAAGCCATCATTATTGTTCCGGTAGCGACAAGTGTGCTAAATCCTACGAGACATGCGATAAGCTCGTGTAATACCATAAGAGGAAAATACTTTTCGGGATCGACAAAATATTCCGCCTCCACGTGCATGCTACGTGGTCGAGTTTCATTCAACGGCACAACAATATCGAGTATAATAGGTAAAAATTCAATAAAGGTAAAGATGATCAATGAGATGCAAAAAAATACTACGAAATGTTGAGAAATATAATGTAATCTCTTGAATAAGTTTTTTCAAATATATTTCTGAAATCAAATAATTTATTAAAAAACTCAAAATGTCTTTCTTTTCCTTACGCGTAAAAATAATTGTATAAATATTCATTTTATAAGAATATTTCTCGATTATATCGATTTCCTTCTTGTCATTTAATGAATTCCAGTCGGTTCGTATTTCATCCATTATTAACTTCACCTATATATAACTGAAACTTATTCTTTGGAATAATATGTATAGGGGCATATTAATTAGTAATATTTATTATATATATATATATATATATATATATATATATATACATACATTATTAAGTAATAATATTATTCGATTTCTTCATATTTGATAAAAATTAGGAAGCAAATCATTACAATTTATTTAAAAAAATCTTCTAACAGTTTTTTTATTCTACTATTAAAAAAAAGAATTAATTCTATGTGACATAATAAAATAATAAAAAAGTATTTTCTTAATATTAGTTAAAAAATTTTTGGGATATTTTAATTACATGCGTAATTAACACACAAAGAATTTAAATATTTTTATTTCTATAGAATTTTTTATTTTTAAGAATTCACTTTTACTATTTATAACACAAATTAGTTATAAAAAATAATTCCTTTGTTATGAAAGAATTAAATGAACGTGTGTAATATTAACTTACATTCTGAGCTTTAAAGTAATAAGCATAGTATTCGACGGTATACATAAAAACAGGCAAGATATGAGAGAGTACATTGAGAATTAGATGCACATTACATTCTGAAGTTATGAACGTACATAGCTGCAAATAACAATTTTATTCTTAATAGATACAGAAGCATAAATTATATTTTTATCAACATATGTATCAGTATATATTCTTATAAAGATGCTTTGAATAAAAACCTGAAAGCAAAAATAACCTGAAGGCAAAAATACCTGAACAAATAAAAAGGAGACAAATAAAACAAAGCAAAAAATAGGCTTAAGTTTTATGCGCCCTGTTGTCTTATTGTTAGATGGCCACAATCCGAGGCAATTCAAAAAAATTTTGTTGATCTTATAATATCGCTCACCAATGAAATCCATCTCGCACTTTAATAAAAACATGTATTTAGACTGTATCCAAATAACAGAGGATCTCACATTTTTCTCGCGTGTTTTATACGTAATTTATTCTATAGCCTTATTTATTCTATAGTCTATACTGTCGAGTAAGTAATATAATATCAAAATAACTAGTAATGATGATAATGGGATAAAAATTAAATAATTGTCTAGATCGTCGAAGAAAAGAATAAACGCGGAACCAAATTGTCAGATATAGTATATATTTTTTTAATATTTAAATTTGCGGAGATGTTTGCTTTTCTCTAGCCTAAAGTGACGCAAGCGCATATGATTATTTTTCAGTTCATCTTGATCCTTCATATAATGAAGTATCTTACTTTCTCTCCTCATTTTTTTAGTATTCGTTAAATATGCTGATAGTACTGATAAAAAATCTGATAGTACTTATTCGTAATTGTAATATTTAATAATGAATTATTATTAAAGAATAGATTCACTATATATCTTTTTAATAATTTCTAATAATATAAGAGAAAATCCTTTGGAACTTTTGATTTTAAAAAAAATTTGAATTTACATCTTAAAGAAATTTTTTTCTCTAAATTATGCATTTCACTGGTTTGTACATAGTATCGTTTATAATATGAATTTGATAATTTAATATATTAAATAACTTATTTGCTATCACTTTATTTAATCGATTTAAATGTTAATGCTCTAAAAACAAAGAATTTAATTATTTAATGTAGACTTCATATATATCCTATATAACAATTTTCTTGATATTATATTACTCTAATATTAATAAACTACTCTCTCTCTCTTTCTTTCTTTCTCTTTCTTTTCATGATGTACCATATTAAAACGTAATAATAGCTTGGCTGTGTATGTGATAAACTTCAAACTGTTGGCATTAATTACAACACCTAATATATCAAAACAGAGCTGCTGGTTGATCGCTTTCGCATTAAATTTATGCAAATTAGCTACAACTTTCTTTGTGATAGTGCACACTGTCAACGCACAGAATAAATTATCATGAAATAAGACAGCGACAAGCTGGTAAGCTGGAACATAAAGTGTTCACCTCGCGTCGTTGCTCAAAGTTATATCGGATTATCAGTGTAGTTACATTACTTCAGATGATGCGATAAATATATAGCCAGATGATGCCGCTTTTTCATACTTTCTAGCATACAACGATATGCAGTACGTGCGATATATTTAATAAGAAAGCATTATATTATTTAGATGCGTCGTTTATTTAGGCTCAAAATATTACGTGAGGTTTAAGTTAATCGAAATATATCATCATTATAATTAATTACCTTTCTCTTGTCGTACTCAAAAGCAAATATAGATAAAGTAAATGAATAATAAGCATTTTAAAATGTTTACTAAGGCATCTATCTATTTGACTTATAATATTTATAGATTAATATGATTTTTCTTAGATCTCATTTATTATTGTTTCATAAACAGAATATGCTTTAAAAGTTATAGTATTTAATTTAATGTGTTACTATTGTGTACGTGAAAATATAATTGTGTCTTCTGCTTGATATTAAATGGAAAGAATTACTGTAAAGTACGAAACTGACATACTGGTAATCTGAAATATATATATATATATATATATATATATATGTAATATAAATAAATATGTATATAATTATGTATACACACACACACAATATATAATATTTTTTGTATATATGAAAGAGAATAATCAAATTCACAACAAATCAAAGTGGTTGATTACCGTTGCAAAACCTTCCAATGATGGAACAAACAAACCTCCGACGGATATGCTATTACCTTTGATGCTTTGTTGCATCATGAATAATAATAACTTTTGCGCGTGTGGAGGAGCGACATACCATTGTGAAACATATCTATAAATAAATAGTTTTCATGTAAATTTACATAATTTCATTATTAGGATACACAAGTGGACTAAATTGTGTACTAAAACTGGAAGGACCACATTCGCATACTCTTTTATACTTTAAATTTTCTTCAAATCGCTAAAATAGTATTTTTAAATTATATAAAAAATTATTTTTGAGATATTCACTTTATGAGATAAGTACTATATTTCTATTGTTATAAGAATAAATATTTTAAATCAGTTTAATATTGAATAAATAAAAAAAGAATATGCGGATTATTCGAAATACTCACGCTCTGTGAAATACATCTGTGCTATGATCTATTAATCTCTGGCCAGTGTAATTACCCAAAAATATATAATAAATATGACCAAAAACTAATAACACAGCGATAATACATTCTTCTAAATCATCTAGATATTGTGCGCTCAAAAAGAGCTGTGATAGAAATCAATTATGGTTTATATAATTGTGTAGAGACTTATATTTACATATACAATATACAAATACGAACATACGCGAACTAAATTAGCGGTCAAAGAAGCAATTCCCAAGCAAACTAGGAAAAAATATGAAGTAGCAAATCCAGATACTAAAAATTCGATAAATCTTGAATAAAAAAATATATGGAGTATATAAGTTACGTTAACTTGTTATTATTATATAATATATTGTGACTTAAGAATAATCTACATTTTTTAGTTTATTCCTTGCTAGTTGAATTTAATATTAATATTAAATGCAATATATGTAAAATTTAATTAGTTAAATATAAGTTTGCAAAAATATACAGATTAAAAAATTGCTGATAGAACATAAATAGAGATACCAACTTGATAGCTCTGTTGTGAATGTTTACAGCACTTATAATTTTTGTGCAATATGAGCAATTTTTTCGCGATGTATTTAAACCCAATATTTCATCAAATGCATGTTCTATTCTGTAACTAATTGTACGAATCATCTGTCACAATCAATTATTTTTTTCTATCAGAAATTAAATTAAGTTAACCTTATATCTAATACGAAACTGTGTGAAATGACAGATAAATAAATAAAACTGTTTTAAAACATTCCTATTTTTTAATTTTAATATTGTAAAAACAAATTTGTAAAAAGAATGATTTAATGCGATTTCATTAATTTAATTAATTCAATGTTTACCTGGCGATTTCAAACATGCCTATTGCATGTTGGACATATGCAACAAATAAAGACTCGGTAGAGATCACAGTAGTGAATCCTACGAGAGCTATTACGTTAATATGCAATAGAATTGGAAGATAGTATTTCTGTTGATCAGCAAAATATTCTGCCGTTAATGGTATACTATGTAACCGTGATTCATTTCGTGGTGCTACTATGTCAAGAAAATTTGGCGTAAATTCAATCAATATATAAACAAACAAAGCAGAATATACAGTCACTAAAAGTACAATAAAATAATTTTCATGTATGTTTCATATGAAAATCAACTCTATATTAATTTCGAAGGGTAGATTAAATAAATGCGCTCAGAAAAGTTTAAGCGTACAGCTAAAATGTCAAGAATAACAAAGAATTATTTCTCACTTGCGAAGAATATCGTATATAGTCGTCCAAAATCAGAATATTTTTTCACAATTTCAAGCTCGACCTCGGTTTTTAATAAATTCCAGTCACTTATAATATTTTCCATGAGATTCCTCACCTATTTTTGAAGCGGTATTAATTTAATCAAATATGTGTATGCAAATCGCTAGCGGGTGAAAGATATAATAGACAAACATTATTTTGTTTCGTATAACTTTTGTCATATATTATTGACTTACTGTTCCAGCACCCATGCAAAAAGAAACATATTTTAAAACAAACACCATACAAGGTACTGTAAATGACGAAATCTTAAGCAAAAGATCCAAACTGTATTCAGTTGTAACAAATTTCATTAACTGAAAATGATTATTGTCCACTTCAAATTGAATGAATTGTTTGTTAATTCTTCGTATAAAATAAAACATGTTATAGCATATATGTTGCTACTGATAAAAAAATAAAAAATAAATATATAAAATCTATTATTTATATACATGACGTAACCGTAATTAATTTTTATATAAATATTTTTTTTATTTGAATTATATTAATCACGTTTAAAAATAGTATTTATTTTTAATTGTAAATCATAAAATATTGCTTATTATTTAATAAGTTATTTAATAGTTATTTAATAGTTATTTAATAGTTAGTTATGGTTTTATATGAAATACGATTTACTATAGAGAATATTTCATATCGATAGATATATTTTATTACAATAATTTTTATATTTAATCGATATTTTTTATATATTTCGCTTGCAATCATTCTTTTATTTTTTTAATTATTTGATAGATTTTGATAAAATTACTTAAAAAATTAATTGAATCTCACGCTATTTATTTTCCTATATATTCTATTAATTATAATTAATTATTTTCTATAATTAAATAATAATAAAGTTAAAATAATACAAGCAATGTATGTAAACTTAAATATCACGACTACACACATATACATATATTATATTTAAAAATTAATTACCTGTATAATGATAGAGGACATAAGAATAATGAAAGAAATAACAATTTGAATTTTCTTCATCCTCGAATCCTGGTATGGCCATAAACCAACCGAGGACAAGAGGATTCGATGTATATTGTAATAGGAATATCCTACAAAGTTCATATCCGTTTAATACTCTAAATAGATTTGTTCAGTCATCATTCAAAATGAGTTTTGATCATTCTTGAAGTATATTATGTATTATTTTACTTCTTTAAATTGATATCGTGTATTGCAGTTATTATGCGCAATTTCTACGTCATTAAAAAGAAATACGATGTTTTTGTCTACTTATTTTATTCCGCATATAAGCTTCTTTCGCATATAAGTCTCATATAATATGTTCAGCATATAAGTCTTATATGGTAGAGACAAATAAAGCAATTATTTAATTATATATTTCGTAGTGTAAAGCGATGAACATAGCGATATTTTTTCCCTCTCTAAAGTGACGCAAGCGCAGTAGCGAATAAAACACCTTGCCGTCCAAATACATTGCATTCATGTTTAATTTGTCCTGAGAACAACTTTTCTTATAGTTTGTTTGAGTTGCAAGACTTTGTGGATTCATTGGTGATAATGTAAACTACATATATAATCATACTATTATATATATATATATATATATATATATATATAATTATATAAATATTAATTTATATTTACATATTAATAAAGTTTAAAATTCCATCATTATTTCGCATATTTCTAGTAAATTTCGAAAATTAATTAAAATATTCCGATACAAGAATTTTTTGAATTATAAATGATTAAAGCTGATGATATTACAGGGAATTCGCACATTTAATTCTCTCACTATATATGTGTACCAAAGGATCTATCAGCTGTTATTGATTTTTCACAATTCAGGTCACATTAATTTTTACTGTTTGACTAATAATAATTTTATTCTCTAGTTTCTTTTATATATAATATATATATATATATATATATATATATATTTTTTTTTTTTTTTTTCCCCCCCGAAGCAACAGTTGATGTATGTAGGGACTATTACAATTAGGCAATATTGAAATTAATTATTATAGCATATTTTTACACACAAGCTGCTTAATTTTTTTCCTTTAAATAAAAGTTGAAATAATTTATTATCCTATGTAAAAAATAATTATTAAGTTTAATGTTTATTTCAGGAATAAAATGTATTTTTATTTCTATCAAAAATTGTGAAAATAATTTATTAAATTTATTAAATTTAATTTATTAATTAAAAACAATGGTATAATAAATTAAAATAAAGTTATTAATTATTAAAAATTAATGAATTGATCCATTAATTTTAAAACAAAAATAACATTTAAAAGTTTATTCATTATATATATATATATATATATATATATATATATATATAATGATTAAATAATTTGCATAATTTGCAATTAAATTATAGTGAATTATATATATGTCTGATTTATAATAAGTTTTAAAATAATATACATATAATATCAAATTTATGCATTACAATTTAATATTATAAAAATCTGCCTATTTTAATATGTTAATTACTAAAAAATATGATCTAAATATGTTATTGACACATATTTTGTCAATATTCTTGTAATTGACAATTTCTAGTATTTTTTAGATCCCAAAGATTTATTTTGAATTTAAAATAAAATAAATTTTATGAATTGTTAGACATAGAAAATTTACTACAAAAAAAAAGTTAAAATCATCAAAATGAAACCAAATTAGCGGAACGAGATAAAAATGTTTTAGTAGCTTTGATGTTAGTGAAAACAACAATCCGAAAATGAAGTAAGACTAGATGAAAAAATAAGCATGTATTAAAATAAGTTATGTATTATATGTTACGATGTAATAAAAAAAGATGCTATTTATTAATATAATAATACTTGCAAATAACAAAGAGTTTGTCACATTAATAGCATAAATGATATTTTAATATCGATCTCGAATTAATTCGATTCGGTCTTGATATATATATTATCTCTTCGAATAGAAAGCACTACCGACTGCTAACTTCTTTCTCTTTTCACTGGATTTCATTGTTGAACGGAATAAATTACCGTGAAGTATGATAGTGACATACTCGCAAGCTGAAGAAATAAATTCGTTATTTTGAGAATAGCTAGAAATAAAGTTTATTGTGTCAAGCTGGCATCACAGTTACCGTAGTAAAATTTTCCAATGACACTGAGTAAATGCCGCCCATAACGAATTTGCAAGAATTTATACTTTTCTTCATCATGAACAATAATAATTTTTGTATTTGCACAGGCGCTGTGTACCACTGCGTATCATATCTAAAAATTTGTTGAGTATTCCATGTACTAAATAATACAAATGCTAAAAGACTATTTTTTATCGCAAGTTTAAGCATAATCGATAGAAATATCAAAAGTATATGTTAGAAGTATATTCATTAACTTCAGCAATTCTTCATTATTATTTTGCTAATTTTCATAACATAACATAATTTATGACACTTGTAATTCTAATAAATTGCAAACAGTTTTAATGCAAAATGGCAAGATAATAGATAAATTTTTATAAATGGATTCTTACGTTTTCCTACAAATTCCCGTACTGTTGTCTATAATTTTCTGTCCCATGTAATTACATATAAACATATAATAAAAGTGACCAACTACAAATATCATGAATGATATAAAGCTTTCCTTTTCATCTGATATAGCAACAGCAACTTGAAAAAGCTGAAAGATGACGAGAAATTAAATTTACTTTTTAAACTCGGATTCTATAATATTAATTTAATATCGAAATAAGCACATGCAGCACATGATAATATTGTAATTAACATACATATGTCATATAATAACATATGTCATATAGTAACATATAGTATATGAATATATAATTAATATAATATATGAATATATGAATTTATTATTAACTTACGCGAAATAAATTGACACTCAAGGAAGCTACACCCAGAATAATTAGAATAAAATAAGATAATGCAAATGTAGATGACACGCATTCAAAAAACCTTAAAAATTAAGAAATTTTATGCACGCTTTTCATAGAGAATAATTTTAATAGATATTTTTGAAAAACCTTATGATAAAATTCTATATAATACCAAAAAATCGGCACATTAGTTAAAATTATAAAAATAAAAAGAAACGAAAGTAACGTGATAACAATAAGATAAAACAATAAAACTATTTATAAATTATGCAATATAATATATGTATATACAGGATTTACATTAGAAAAAATGTATTCCTATTTTAATTTGTAAAATATTTATTTAATAAGAATAATTAATTAAAAAAAAGAAAAATCCGAAATAATTAAAAAAAATTCTTTTATATATATGAATTTTATATATACGAAGATTGTTTTTAGAAATCAATCTCCGATAGCATTGCAAAATAACAAAAAACACACAGAAAAGTCATTTTATTATATACAAAAATTATATACATATCTACATTACTTTTCAAAGTAATCGCCATTCGAATTGAGGCATTTGTCATAGCGCAGCATAATCTTTTGTGGTCTTATCGAAGCATGATGCTACCAAACAAGAATCTCAGCGAATTCCTAGAATTGTTCATCAATCCCCGTTTTCGAATCGTTGCATTCCTAGCCACACTTTCATGCGTGTGAACAGATGAAAGCTATTTGGTGCAAAGTTCGGGCTGTAGAGTAGTTGAAAAACCTTCATCGGAACTTCTGGAGCAGTGCAATGGGAATTCGACTACCTATTCTAGAAACGCGATGATTCGAGGGCATCGTACTGTAATGAGGGCATACAAAAACTTGTACTTCGAGTGCCACAATTCGAATAACAATTCTGTCGAAAAATAGTATATGTACAATTTTTGTGTAATAAAATGTTTTCCTATTTGTTTCATTTTGAAGCTTATCAGATATATCCGAATAGCCCTCGTGCATATGTGTATGCACATATGTGTGTGTGTGTGTGTGTGTGTGTGTGTGTGTGTGTGTGTGTGTGTGTGTGTGTGTGTGTGTGTGTAATAATTAAAAAAGATAAAAATGTGTAATAATTAGAAATCATGCAATCCAAATTTCTCTATCTTTCTTCCATAAAAGTTTATATACAATTGTGCTATTTGTAATGTTAATAGTATCGATGTACAAGTTACCAACTCGATGGCTCTCTGATGAATCTCTATAGCATTAATTATTTTCGTACGAATTGCATTTTCCTTATTCAATGTAGACAATATTGACATACTCTCATCCAACGCATGCTCTATACGATAACTATAACAATAGTAAATGTGATGAAATAGATATAAATTGCTCGAATGATTCCTTGTAGTGATTTATAAATTTCTCTTATATGATACAAATCTTAATACAAATCTTACCCAGCTATTTCGAACATGCCACAAATATGATATACATATGCAAAGAATAAAGTCTCCGTGCTTATGACAGTGACAATTCCTATGATGAGTGTTATATTTGCATGCAATAAGAGCGGGTAAAAATATTTTTGTTGATCGAGAAAATACTCCGCCAAATATGGAAGATGTCGCGTACGGGATTCGTTTAACGGCGCTATAACATCAAGAATGTCCGGCAAAAACGGCGTTAATAAGAAACCAATAGTACCAGGATACACTAGGCCTGAAATTATATGATATCTCAAATTATATCACAAACAAGAAAGTCATTTATCGAAAAAATTTTTATATTCCACATCATTTGTATTTCGATCCGATTTTCTACCCGCGAATGCATATAGGTGTTTTCTTCCAGACTGAGTGTATTTTCTTATTATTTCGACTTCCTGCTCATCTTTTAATGCATTCCAATCATTTTGAACTTGTTCCATTAATTCTCTAATCTATTTAAAGTATTATAAATATTATCAAAACATTTAGACCGTCTGACGATGAGTCAATGAATCAATTTCACATGTGTGATTATTTATATAAGTTACCTTTTGAGATTGTGTGTAAAAAGCAATATATTTCACAAGATAAATCGCAGAAGGAATAGCGAATGATAAAATAGTCAATATAAGTTCAAGATCATATTCCATTGTAAATAGTTTTAACAACTAAAATCGACAAATTTGTATATTATTGACACTGACAAATACTTTCTTCTCTTATCGGTTAAGAGTACGGAATGTATTTTTTCCAATTATAAAAAATTAATCCTTTAATTTTATTTGTAATCCTTTAAATTGTGAGTGAAATTAAGTAAATAAATATAAATATGAACCATTTGAAAAGCGATCACAGTTTCTTTATACTACGATTTATATATAATCGAGAAGATATTTTATTTAAAAAATTATAGAAAAGAAAAGAAGATCTATGTTGTTGCATGAATGTTAATTATGTTTCATTTATACCTATTTAATATGTAAATTCTTTTTTAATGAATTATATACCTGAGTGACTGTTGCAGATATAAGTAGAAAGATACAAAAAATCGCATGGATTTGTTTAAGGAGTGATTTGCCATATGGCCACAAACTAAGTGATAATAAAGAAAGCCGATACAGTTTATAGTATCGATATCCAAGAAATTCCATTTTTCTTCAAAGTCTATCGCACGACTGTCCATAAAATACTCTGGCATTTTTCGTTTCAGCAATATTCAGTAGAACCTTCTATTAGAAGTGTAGTTTATCTTTAAAAAAATTCTCTCTACGCGATTTTAAACACATTATCCAATTTCACAATTAACTGTGTAAAGACGAAAAAAGAGTGAAAAAAATAAAGACTATTTTTACGACACAATAAGAGAAGTCGCCAATGCCAGCAATTATGTAAATTATGCGATATTTTATTCTATATACCAGGACTTTTATCATGTTTCTCAGTTTTTCCCACTTCATTTGTTACGCAAGCGCAGTTTATTATACGCCCCTTTCGACTCGATATAACTATTAGTATCATCTTATTTGTCGTACAATACATTTCAAGAATTTATTCGTGAGACATATAGAGATAGTTCTCTATTTATGCAAACATTAACACTTACAAAATTACAATATTTAAAAATATTTTTGATTAAAAAAGTGCACTTTATGGGAAGAAAAATTAAGGATTAAAGTGATTAAAACATTTATATTATTAATATATAGAAAATAATTGCAATATTTCGTAATATTTCGTAATTGTGTGAGACGTTATGAAGATTTTAAGTTTGAAGTTCTCCGTGCATTATTAATAACTGTAATTTATTTCTTTGCACAATACATTGATTGTGAAGAATTCTCATTCAGAACATCATCGTGTTGAATAAATTACCATAAAATAGGATATGGATGTGCTCATAGTCTAGAACAAGAAGATTTGTAAAGAGAATGATACTTTTATCGAAAATAATATTGAAAATAATTACCATGGCAAAACCTTCTAACGACGCGACATAAAGACCACCTACAAGTAGCGTACAATTTTTCGAACTTCTTTGCATTATAAATAATATTAATTTCTGCACGTGCAATGGCATCACGTGCCATTTGCAATTATATCTAAAATTATTAATTATTAAAAATATTAGTATACTAAACTAATATTATATGTGTGCGTTTATAAATTAGAATTATAAGTACAATTAAAATTATAATTATTATAACGATATACAATAATGACAAATATATTTTTTATACAAAAAAATGTGTAGTGCAATATAAATTTTAAGTATTAAAATTTTAGTGGTTGGTGCTATGTAAAATGAAAATATAGCATGATTTTCACATATTCAATTGCACTGATAGACACTGAATTCTAGTAACTTACGTTCTCGATAAAAATTCGCTGCTGTGATCCAAAACTTTTTGTCCTGAATAATTAACACAAAAAAAGTAAAATAAATGAATAAAAACATTTGTTATGGGAAAAATATTTTCGATAAGTCCCTGTATGATTACCGCCTAAAAAAATTTCGTTCTTGTAGAAGAAAAGATATTTCGCAAAATACATATACACATTTATATAAACATTGAGAAATACATATACACATTTATATAAACATTGAGAAATACATATACACATTTATATAATACATCCACAAAAAAGCGAAAAAATTAAATCTTTATGTGTAGCATATTATTTGAAATTTGTACATTATTAATAGTAGTTGTCATGGCACAAAGAATTGAAATAAACGAATTACTTACATGATATAGATTAACAGTTAAAGATGCTACACCGAGTAAAAGAAGAAAAAAATACATTGTAACAAAAGTATTCTTCATGAATTCGAAAAACCTTTAACGAGAAAAAGCGTTACGCGTGAATTCCTCCAGAATATTTCATTTATATTTATAAAATTATTTATGTTTGAAATAAAATAAATGACCACGAGAAATAAATCGCGGGAAAATTACCGCGCAAGTTTAGATTTGATGTAATATACATATAATAATAAACGATATTTAAATCCTGAATTATGCGATGAGAAACTACCAACTCTATAGCTCGTCTGTGAATGTTGATGGCACTGATTATTCGGGAGCAAATTATGCAACATTTTGTAGAAAGCAAATTTTCCTTTTCATAATCGTCCAGAGCATGTTCGATACGATAACTGAAACAATAGGATTATATAATGGAAAGAAAATTTATTATACATATATCGAACGTCACATAATGTCACATAATGTCAATTAATATCACGATTAATCGATGTACGAAGGCTATTCGGAAATCAACTTCTGGTAAGTTTATAAAATAAATAAGAAACAAGAAAAACATTTTATTATACACAAAAATTACTTTCATTTGTCGACATAATTGCCATTCGAATTGGAGCACTTGTCGTAGTGCGACACAAAAACTTTTATATCCTCATCAAAATCGAAAAACCCCCATCAGAACTTCTGGAGCAGTACAATACGAATTCGATCACTCATCCTACAGTTCGGAGTTTGCACCGAATGACTTTCATCTGTCCACACGCATGAAAGTGTTGCTAGAAACGCAGCGATTCGAAAGTAACGAGGAACTGATGAGCAGTGCTAGAAGTTGACGAGATTCCCACTTCGGTACCATACTTTGATGAGACTATAAAAGATTGTACTGGACTATAACAAATGCCTTAATTCGAATGGCGATTATATCGAAGAGTAATTACATATATAATTTTTAATAGTGTATACATGTATACAATAAAATATTTTCCTTGTTTTATTTTGTAAGTATTAGGTTGATTTTTAAATAGCCTTCATATTATAAAATCAAAAACAATTCTGAAAATACATTTATATATATCAAATGATAAAAAATACAAAATTAAATATAAAATAAATTAAATATAAAATATCTCGAAAATGTAATATTTTCTAACATTTTTTCTCAATGTTTTTTTTTATAAAGTGAAGTTAACACAGTCTTACAAGTAAAATTTCAATCAGAAAACAACTTTTAATCTTTAATTATATATTTTGTCGTTAAATCTAAATATATTCATTATTATTAAAGCAAAATTTACAAACTTAATGAAGAAGCAAGTTATTAGTTTAATTATATATTTTCAGCGGCAAAATAAAAAAATTCATACAGAATTTCTGCATTAGTTTGTAGATGTATCAATATCTCTTACCTAGCTATTTCAAACATCCCGCATGCATGCTGTATGTATGCTACATATATAGATGTGGTAGACATTAATGTGATCAAAATTATAAAGATATACACAACCATATGCAGAAGAACAGGATAAAAATATTCATCAATATTAACAAAATATTCAGATAAAATTATCAGCTGGTGTGGACGAGATTGATTAAGCGGAGCCATAAGATCGAGAAGATTTGGTATAAAATGTATGAATATGAAAAATAACGGAGAAATATAAGCGCATACTGTAATTAATAATAAGAGATTAATATCGTTCGATATATTAAGATGAAAAGTGAAACGTAACACAAAGATAATGTAAATAACAACTGAGATGATTAAACAGATCTTAACATATGTAATCAGAAAGAACAGAGTTTCTTAATTATTTTCTTAGATTCCAATTAAGTTTCTGGGGAAATTATGATGTACAAAATTTAGTAATTTTTGACTAATAAGTAAATTTATATAATACAAACGTTCTTTTTATTTATAAATTTATATAATATAATATTTATAAATTATAAAATAATTTATAAAATATAATATTTATAAATTTATATAATATACATTTTTGCGAAATAGCATAATAAAGTTTTACCGTCTTACGTGTAAACAGCTGTGAGTAAAATGCTCCCATATAAGTGTATTTCCGAATTATTTCATATTCCATTCTATTTTTTAGCGTATTCCAATCGTATTTTATCATATCCATCAACTCTCTCATCTATGATTGTACAATGCACAGTATATTTCTATATACTATACGTGACAATGTTACTTAAATTAAGCACACATTTATTTTAAACATTATGTATGTCGCGATTTGCTTAAAGAAAATTTGTTATTTATTTCAAAATTTATAGGTGTCTTTTATAATATATAATATAAAAAAAGAAGGATTTTATAATAATATAATTATGTTGCTTTATAATAAGTTCACTATTCATTAACATGTATAGAGATGTATATAAATTTTCATTCTCTCTAAATTAATGTTGTTTTGCCATAATCTCTATAATGTATCTTTAATACATCTATCTCTAATACATCTATAATGTATCTTTAATAACTTTCTAAAAACCTAAGTCGATTAAAGTGTGAGTAAAGAAGTTAAAGAAATATTAAAAATATTATTGCAAACGGTGGCTTACCGATTCGATTTTTACACAATACGTGACATATTTTAGAATGGCAATCAAACAAGGAATCGTAAACGATAAAACTTGAAGGAGAAGATCCAAGTTGTATTCAAATGTGGTAAATGTGAGTAACTGGAATTATGTGTTCCTCGATATAAAATATATACCCTTATAGACTTTATATAATCGCAATAGATAAAAAAAAGTAACATAAATAATTAAAATATGACTCGTACAAATCACTTAATTATTCCTTTTCACCAAAAATATCAATAATAATACCTGAACTATTATGCCAGATATAACACAAGTTACACAAGAAAATCTTTGAATTCGAATAAACCATGTCTTTTGATATGGCCATAATCCAATAGATGATAACATTACGCGATTAAGGGTATAGTACCGATTACCATCGAAGTCCATCTTTGCGACGCAACTGAGGGAACATTTTTATCGGCGTACAATAAGACAATAAGATGATTACAGCTGTTTTATTATGCATAATATTATTGCAGTGCGAAAGAATATGAGAATCGCTTATAGAAGTTGGGGAAATAATGTGATAGCATACTCTAGGGCATAACATAAATAAGATAATTAAATAAATTACTTTTGGAAATATCGCATTTTTCTTTTTCACACTATAAAACTTAGGTGTAAATTTTTTTATATCTATCTTAGAGAAAACGTGATGTGAAATGATATTTTATTAATTGATATACTTCCGTAGTTCCTTGCTATAAATTTTGCCTAATATTATAACACAAATACTTTGAAATATCTATGAATAAATATCTATAATTTTTTTTCGTCTAATAATAACGAGATATTTATGTATTATTAGGCAGACGACTTTTATGATAATTCAAAAACTGATTGTATTGCGGTTTCAAATAATTCAATCAAAATTAAAAAGTTGGAATGTGTATCGCTACAACAGTCATTTCTGTTAACAGCTGATTCATTTATATCTTAACTGAATAACTTTAGACCTTTTATGTGCCAAATACAATTTAACATAATATTGTTCAAACTTGCTAAAATTCGGTTTAAAATGAGTTTACAATAAATAGTGTAAATCTCTGATGTCATCGCTACTATATCTCCTTTCGTCATCGACTGTATCACATCCGGAGTGAGTACAACACCGTAAAGTAAGATACTGCTATACTAATAGTCTGAAAAATTATTCTTTCTCATTATTTCGTTTTCTTATTAAAATGTGACTTGTTGGAAAGCTGTTACCGAAGCAAAACCTTCCATCGATGCGATTAATATACCGCTAAATATATTAAATGTACATGTCTTCATTGATCTTTGTAATATAATAAGTAATAATTTTCGAATACGTAGAGGAGCCGCATACCACTGTACGTTATATCTATATATTTGAATAAAAATGAATATAATTATTTTGTGCATTTTATTACTAATTTTATATTAATTTTTTACAGATACATTATGATATAATATTAATATTTCTTATCGATATAAATCTGTAATTAGTAATCTCCTCTAAATACATGATTTAATATCAATTGATATTTGTAAACCATAAAAAATATAAATAAAACATTTTTATTTCAAATAAAAAGTTCATATTACTTAACATTTGAATTATGATTTATTAAATATTACTCATCATTAATTGATTTTATTTTATATAAAGTGTTTCAAGTTTTTACTGGCGATACTTACGTTCCTTCAGCCATATTTTCACTATGATCAGATAAATACTGTCCAAAATAATTCACCCAAAATGTATAACAAAAATGACTTAAAACATATAAACTGGATGCCAATATATCACCGAATATATTACTCTCAATTGCTTGGAACAACTAAAACAAATTGAAAACTGCATTTCCCGAATTATATATAAATAGATGCATAAATGTGTCCAACGCTCATCGTGCCTTTTCTCTCATATGGATCGGTAAAAGCTAAATTCAAGCACGATTTATGCATCCATTTGTTCACTTTAATATTTTCATACTCAGTATAATATCCCTACGTAAATCTGAAATTAAATTTGCATAAAATTGTAGCTTAATAAGCTTCATGAACATTTAATTTACAATGTCAATCTCTCGACATCTAATAAAAAGAATGAACAACAAATTAAATGAAAAATAATAAATAATTAAATAATTAAATAATTCGAATAAAATTGAATTGTACATAAATTATTATTAATAATTTATTACACAATATATTAAATATAATGGATGTTATTAATAATTCATTATATATGTTAAATATGTATATAAAACATTTTTAAGATATTTGTGTGTTTTTCGATATTTCTAATATAAATATATCTTAATTCGATAGAAAAAATTAAGAGACTAGAAAAAGAAAAAATATAGGGTACTTACTCGTAATATATTTATACTTATCGATACAATACCAACTGTTACGAGAACCAAGTAGGATACAGCGAAACAGGAGTTCATAAATTCAATAAATCTTAAATATTAAAAAATGACGTTCAGTAGTGTGACAATTTATAAAATAAAATTGTATTGCCATTCAATTTGAAAATATATAGAGTGCTACACGTAAAAGGTTACAAAGTTTTTTCCCGATACTTAACGTTATACAAAAAAAAATTACAAATAAAATTTATAAGATTTGAAAAGGAAAAAAATTGATAATCTTGAATTTCAACTTCAAAAAATATGAATTTGCATCTATACATTTTTCTTAATAACAACTATATTTCCTCCACATCAATTAATTCTTCTTATTATTATATAAAAAATTGAGAAAAAATAATCAAAAAATGAATATTTATTAGATATTTCATAGTTTCTAATTATATATCGAATTATAAAAGATCTTCTAAACTCGTGAACTATATATATCTAATTTATAATCATTTTATTTTCATAATTTTTTTAATATTACGTGAAACTGATTATGTATATATAAAGAAATTAGAATAATCTCATTAAAAAAAAATTAAGTTGGTAATGTGGAGGTCATATGAAATATACCATTTAAGACAATTGTGAAAATAAAAATTTAAATTACATACTGTAAAGATCGTCCATGGATTTTTATGGCGCGTGATAATTTTGCACTAATAACAGAATTGTCTTTGCAATCGTCAAATGCGTGAGTTATACGGTGACTAAAAAATATTTAATATATATTGTTTTAAGTAAAATATTATTCAAGCTGATCAGACTAGTATTTTTAGTATTGTGTGTGTGTGTGTGTGTAAACAATATATATATATATATATATATATATATATATATATATATATATATGTCTATTAAACTCTGATAAAAAATTACAAATCCGATATTATAAATCGAAAGATTGTGAAATTGTATACTTAAAAATAATTTTTTAAATAATCATCACAATAATATATATTCATCACAATAAATTACTATTTAGTCTTAAAGAACGATATTCTTTTAAATTTAAGGATTAAATATGAAGAATAATTCGTCGCAACCAACGTAAAAAACATGAGATAAAGAATGCTCGAATATAAGTAAATACGTATCTAGGAAGAAAAAAAAAGAAAAAAATTTCTCAAATGTTTTTTACAGTTATTTTTTACTAGAAAAAAATGGTATTAAAATGCGGTTTGTTTTTGGATAGTCGTTTACCTTGCAATTGCGAACAATCCACAAGCATGTTGTATGAATATCATGAACATTGTTTCAGTAGCTATGAACGTGGTCATACCCATCATAGCGATTACTGACATATTAGATACTATTACATAAAAGTACTTTTGCTGATCAAGAAAGCATTCGACCGGTGTGGGTAACAGCCGCAGACGAGGTTTGTCCAGTGGCATTATAAAATTGAGAACATCTGGTATACATAATGTCAACATAAATAAAATTGTGCCTATATAAATGAACACTGAAATAATTGAGAGAAATAGTATATACTTTGCTCATAAATTCACTGCATTTTGTATAAACATTTAAATTATAAACATGATTTACTTCGCATTAAGTTGTATGTAAAAAAAATCAAATGTAAACTTGTTGAAGTACAAGTATAAACATAATCTTACTAACATCCGAAATAAATAGTATATAGTCTCCCTCTAGAAGCATATTTTTGTATTATTTCAATCTCTTGAGTATCTGTTATGGTGATACAATCGTAATTAATTTGTTCGAACAATAGTTTTACCTACGAATATAAACTATAAGTAAAAAAAAATATTTCTCCCCACGATTGATGAAACGTCGATATTGTTATCGGTAAAGTGATTTTTATGAAATCCTTTTTATTCATATATGTATAGGTCGCGTTTATGCTTACAATTAAAATAATAATGAATACGTATTTGCAAATTTCATTGAAATTATTATAAATGTCCATAACTTACGTTTGTAAAATTCAGATATACTGTATTATATTTTACGATGAACAGGACTAATATAGTATGGAAAGACAGCATCTCGATGAACAGTTTCATATTATACTGATGCGTGATAAAAGTCATATACTATAAATCAAATTATTTATACGAGTGAAAACTGATTGATAAGATAATATATAAAAATCCCCTTTTTTATATACGGAATTTAAATATATACTATACGGCACTGTTTTATTCAAATAATCACATGATGTATTGTAACAAAATAATATATACTATAAAATAAGCAATCACTATTTTACCTGGAATATCAGACCTTGTACATAAATAATCGATACAAATATAAATAGAAGTTTCCTGTGTTTTGGATTCTGATAAGGCCAGAGACCCAGAAAAATCATCAAACGTCGCGTCAACCCGTAAAATCGATCGTCATAAACATCCATTCTCGTGAAGAGCTGGAATATATCTACATACATGAAGGACATTCACATACCGTTCCCTTCCTTTTGCTATACACTCTCCCCATTTTTTATCCCATTACATTTAATAATTTCTCTATATTATCTATGTACCGTCTTTAAGATAAAAGTTCGTATTATTACAAATGATGGATAGTTGATATTATTATAGATAATAGGACGAATATTTTTTCACTCCTTTTGTGAATGTACAGTTGATAAAAGAAAAAAGTGAAGAGACAATTGAAAAAATGATTAAAAAACGCAACATAAATATAGGCTAAATCAATTTAATTATGCCATTTTAACAGTCATAAGACGCAAATATATATTTTTTATGTCTCACACGATATAGGCGCAACAAAGGTAAATGTCGCATTTCTTTATTCTTCAAGCCATTGTTCTTACAAGAACAGAGTTTGAAATTTGTCGCAATAGTCACTATGCTATTATGCTATCATTCTCGACGGCTAAATGTAATTTTCAATTTTTTGTTGAATATAAGTATATTTTTCAACATATATGTGCGTGTGGATGATGTATGCATACGTGTGTGTGTGTGTGTAAACATGTGCGTGTATGCTCAAAATTTCGAACATCATTTAAAATATTCGTGAATTTATGGCAATTCCCATCGCGAGCGATGTTAAAGAAAAATAAAGTGCTAAAATATTACACATTATGTAATAATATAATAATTGAGAAAATAATTATATATTATTTTATTAAATTATTATAGAAATGTGCCAAAGTTCTACAATAAAATATAAGCTTAATTTATGCATAGATAAAAGATAATTTAAATAATTGCTGTGTATATATATTTACTTTTACTAAATATATTTACTATATAAATATATACTGTATTAATATATTTATACTGAATTATATATACAGTATTAATTTTATATTAATTGACGCGTTTATATTTTTAAACCGTCGACCATTTCTCTTGAAAGATATTTTTGTAATATAATAGAAATTTATCACACACACACACACACACACACACACGAAATTTTTATAACACAATAGAGATCATAGAATAACTATATTGCTGTTTATCATATTTTTATTTTCTTGTATTTAACGAATGATCGAATTAGAAAATCCGATCATTTACAAGTATTGATGGTGCTACTCACACTTTCAGATTTTTTATTGATAATTACATTTACGCTGTCGTAAATACGTACGATTATGTTCGAACTGAATATATAACCATGCAATAAGACAATGACATACTAATAAGCTGGAAAGCACATATATTTCTTTTATATTTTTATATAATAATCCTTATTAATTTAAAAAATATATTTGTAGAATCTGTTTATTTTATTCAAATGCTTTTTTATCAAACTTTTCTATATTTTTCTAGCAAAATATCATATTTTCACTTTATTGATTGAAAGATCGTACGTACTATTTGTTCTCACAAATTAATTGAATGGAAAATAAATTTTGCAACAGAAAGAAGAGTAAAACTAACTTTTAAATGCAACGAATTATACATATTATATATTTGTTGATACGTATTATTACCGTTGCAAAACCTTCAAACGAAGCAACAAATAAACTGCCGATGACAATCTTACTGGTTTTCGCGCTTCGTTGCAATGCTATGAATAATAATTTCTGAGCGCATATCGGCGCTGTGTACCATTGTGTACTGTATCTATACATGAATATGTTATAGAAAGATTAGCAATCTAAGAAAGTAATCAAAGAGAAATCGCTCACATTCTTCATATGTAAAATATTTTTTCTACACAAATTTGCATACCGTCTAAAATGTACTCACATCTGTTGAAAAAAACATTCGCTTTGATCGATTAGATCCTGTCCAAAATAATTTATGTAAAATGTATAACAGAAGTGAGCGAATACGAATAAACCAGTTGAAATAACCTCAACTATATTGTGTATTTCGATTGCATGAAAAAACTGTGATCAATAAATGTAATGTTATCGGGACTTATCTATATATTTTAACGCAGACAAGGTGCCTCTTAAAATAACTTGATGTTTTTGTAATTCTTTGACTAGTTTGAATATGATTTCCTTTTCGGTGAAAAAGTCAAAGTCAATAATTTTAAAGTTAAGAGCAATTTAAAAAGAAGGGTTCTATGTACTTTAAATCATATTTTGCAAAATTAAAAGAATTAACAAAAAATACGTATTCTTTAATTAATTTCAGATAGAGTTTATTAAAATTTTATTTGCATTAATAACATAATTATGAAACCTAACATAATCTAACATAACTTAATCACAAAAATGCATGAAAAAATTGGAAACTTGAAAAAATAATGCCCTTCCTCGACAATTTTGCTTTGGAAAAATTAATTCCAAATTAATAGAGAATTGATTATTAAAAAGATATTTGGAGATTTTGAGATATTACGTATTGTAATTTGTGTTTCATTGATCTCAATCTTCCAAAAAAAATACTCACGCGAAACATATTAATACTTAACGATGCCACACCAAGTATACACAGAATAAAATATGATGTTGAAAATTCATATTGCACAATCTTGATAAATCTTGAAGATAATAATTATGTTAATGAATTGTTACACTATTTAATAATGACAAAAATTAAATATAGTAGGCGCATATTAATCTTGTTTCGTAAAATATTATTTTTTATTATTGAAATTTTATATTTTATCCTAAATTATAAAATACAAAATTATGTACGGAATTTATGTCTAATACTTACTCTAAACAGTGTTGATGAGCGAGAAAAGCGTGTAATAGTTTAGTGCAAAGTTTGCATTTAGTTTTTAAAAGTGTTGTTCCTGATAAATTTGTGTTCAACGCACATGTTAAACGACAGCTATAAAAGTACAATTATATTTTTATATCGTTGAAAATTTAAATATTATAATTGATTAATTATACTTAAGAAAAGTACTACTAATAGATTTAAAAAATTTAGTTTAGTTTAGTTAGCACCAAATTCTGAAGATTTCTTTTTTTCTTTATAATAAAAAATAATGTTTATAAATAATATCAATAATGCTTATAGACACATCTAAAAATACTAAAAATTTAAGTGATATTGAATATATTAAAATTTATCATATCACCTAACGAGTTCGAACAATCCACAAGCATGCTGTATAAATGTCATATACATAGTTTCCGTTGCCATAAGTATTGTCATACCCAAAAAAACGACCGTTATAAAAAATAAAAAGAAAACATAAAAATAAATCTCTATATCAAAAAACACTTCTACTTGAACCGGTAATTGTCGTAGACGAGGTTTGTCTAATGGCATTAATATATTGAGAATATCTGGTACAAATATCATTGAAATAAAGATGGATGTTCCCGGGTAAACAATCACTGAAAATAATTTAGTACGAAGAGAGAAATACTAGAATAATTAATACATTTTTTTATCATTTACAATATTTATAATTTATTTTTACTTCTTATATAAATTCATTCTTCATATATCTAATTTTCAATTTTATTTTTTTATTATTTTAAAATCATTTCCCTAATGAAATATATAAATTTTATGAAAACAATTATATAAGATAAAATTATATTTTATTTCACTTACATGCAGAGAACACTGTATAAAATCTGGCTTTATATGCGTATTTTTGAATTATTTTTAACTCATTCGTGTCTTTTATCAAATTCCAATCGCGTTGAATGTAATCAAGGAGTTTTTTTATCTACGATACAACTATCAGCGTCTAAGATATCAATCAGATATTTGCTTTTATTCTTATACTTTTTGAAATCGATTTAGAGTTAACTTACGTGATAAGAATTAAAATACACTATTTGATATTTCAAAGTATAAATTATACAAAGAAGAGCAAAGGCACAAACTTCAATTAATAAAGTTGTATTATATTCATGCGTGATAAATGTTGCCAACTAAAAAAAGTAAAATTCTTAAATAAATGAAATATTGAAAATGTCACTTTTATGCACAGAAATTAAATACTAATGTAACGTCATATACAATTATCCATATATCTGCAAATATATGTTGTAAAATTTAAACGTTTCCCATATAAAATTTCTAATTCTATTTCGTAATTCTATAATTAATTTTTAAGAATATACAATTGTTTAACATAATTAATATCTTTGTTTCACCATAAACTATTTACAAAATGTTCAATAGACAAAAAATATAATTTCTACAATTTAAAACGCTCGTGCTCTGCATATTTCTTTAATAAATATACAAAGCATATTTTTACGATCGTGAACAAAATGAATATATAACGCGTTCAATTCAAATCACAAACATATTAATATAATATAATATATTAGTGGAACAATAAGTACAAAAGATAACGCAGAGCACTTTCAAATATTTCAATTTTATTAATTTGATGTTCTGGTTTTTAATAAGACCAAAAACTGATAATCATCATTAAATTTCGAATTGGGCTATAGTATTCATTGTTGAAGAAATTTACTCCGATTTGAAATTTACTCCGATTTGAAATTTACTCCGCAATTGTTATAATTCTACGTGGATTTGTAAAGATTATGTAATACTCTTATTATCATTGGAATTAGCTAGATAGCTATTATAATCTTAATGTACTCAAATTTTCCATATTATAATGCAGAGAATTGCGAAAACTCGGAAATATCAGGAGAACATAATTTATAATTAGTTTATTGGAAGGATAAAAAAGTTATAGCTTTATAAGTGAGCACTGGAATAATTAAGAAAAATAATTTACTTTGTACACGCGGACATTGCATTTTGTATAAACTTTTCAGTTATAAACATGATTTTTTCGCATTATTGCATGTAATAAAATCAGATGTAAACGATTCGAAATATGAGCGTAAACGTTATATCATTAATATTTGAAATAAATAATATTATATTCTCCCTTTACCATTATATATTATTATATATATTTTTGTATTATTTCAATTTCTTGAATATTTGTTATAGTGATACAATTCGTAACAATACTCTTGTGATAATATGGACTATAAATAAAAAAAATACTTTCCTCGATGATTGATGAATTATCGATATTAATATTGTCACAGATAAAGTATATGAAATGACAATTCTTTTTATTCATATAAGTCGCGTTTATTCGCACAATTAAGATAATAACGAATGCGTATTTGCAAATTTCATTGAAACAATTAGTTAACATATCAATGTTCATAACTTACATTTGTAGAATTCAGGTATATTATGTTAGATATTATGATGAAAAGGACTAATAGAGTATGGAAAGATATTATCTCGATATATAATTTCATATCATGCGGATGCATGATAAAAGTCATATACTCGCCTTTTTTATATTATATGAAATTTAATTATGTACCACCGCATTCTTTTATGTATTGCCGTTGTGATATAGAATAATATACATTATAAAATAAACAATGCGCTACTTTACCTGAATTAGCAGACTCTTCATATAAATAATCCATACAAATACCAATAGAAGCTTCCTGTGTTTTGGATTCTGATAAGGCCAGAGGCCCAGAAAAATCATCAAACGTCGAGTCAACCCGTAGAATCGATCGTCATACGCATCCATTCTCGTGAAGAGTTGGAGTACATTTGCGCATCTGTGGAGGACGTTCGTATCTCTCTCCCCCACTCTTTCTCCCCGTTTTCTATCCCCTTGCATTTAATATACAATTTCATATTGTTTATAGCTCTTAATATAATAATAGTTGATATTATCAAATAATGGAATAAACACTTTTCAACTTTCGTGTATATACATACATTTAATAAAAGAAGGAAAAGAGCGATCGAGAAAAATAATCATAAATATGTTTCAAAAACATAGTATACATAAATATACAGCAATCAACTAAATTGTATTCTACAATTTCGAGCAGCTATAAGGCGCAAATAATATAAAAATATGTATTTTTATGCCGACATGACGCAGACATAATATAATTAGATGTCTATCGCATTTCATTGTTCTTCCACCGATTATTCATACAAAAACAGAATTTGCATTTCGCTGTGTTATAAACCATGTGCTTTTAACCATCGATTATAAAAGATAAGAATTTTTATAATATAATAAAAATCACACACACACACAACATGCACACACATGGAATTTTTATATAATAAAAAACATGGAATAAGTATATTGCTATTTATCATTTTTTTATTTTCTTATTCTTTATGAATAATTGAATTAGAGGATCTGATCATCTACAAGTATTCAGTACTACTTACACTTTGATGATTTGTATCGATACATAATACATTTGCGTTTCCGTAAATACATATGATTATATTCGAACGGAATATATTACCATACAATAAGATAATGACATACTAATAAGCTAAAACAAAAAAATTCTTTTATATTTTTATATAATAATTCTTATTAAATATTAAAAAATCTATGTGTAGGATCTGCAGTTGATGTTTCGACAAAATGCTATTTTTTTTTTATCAAATTTTTCTATATTTTTCTACATAATAAAATATCATTTATTCACTTTATTCATCAAAAGATGATATTTGTTCTCGTAAGCTAATTGGAAAATAAGTCTTGTAAGAGAAAAAAAGAGTAGAAAATTAACTTTTAAATGCAACAAACTAATCCATATTACATATTTGTTGATATGTATTATTACCGTGGCAAAACCTTCAAACGATGCAACAAATAAACCACCAATAATAAGCTTGCTACTTTTCGCACTTCGTTGCAACGTTATGAATAATAATTTTTGAGCGTATAGCGGCGCTGTGTACCATTGTGTATTGTACCTACACATTAATACATCATAAAGAGAACAACAATTTAAGAAATTAGTCGGAGAGAAATCACTCACATGTGATTCTATAATTTAATAAATTAAATATTCTATGATCTAATAAATGTTTTTTTATATAAATATTTATTTTTTATATAAATATCTATTCATTAATTAATTTTTCTATAGAATATTCGAATACATCTTTTCTAATATACAAAATATTTTCTCTGCACCAATTTGCGTGCCATCTTAGATGTATACTCACACCTGTTGAAAAAAACATTCGCTTTGATCAATTAGATCCTGCCCTAAATAATTGACATAGAATGTATAACAGAGGTGAGCGAATACGAATAAACCAGTTGAAATAATCTCAAATATATTGTGTATTGTGACTGCATGAAGAAACTGTGATCGATAAATATAATGTTATCAGAAATTTATCCGTATAATATTTTAGCACAGAGGAGCCTTTTAAAATAATCCTTGTAATTTTCTGACTAATTTATATTTTTCTATGTGAAAAAGTCGAAGCATACACACACATCAATAATTTAATAAGATAATAAGCAATTGACAAAGGATTCCTTGTAAAAACTATATTAAACTATATTTAATTAAAAAATTAATAAAAATACACGTTTTTAGTTAATTGCTAATGGAATTTACTTAAATAAATAAAATTTAAATAAATAAAATTAAATAAAATTTTAATTTGAGTTAATAATTTAATTATTAATTTAGTTACAATGTTAAGATTAAAAAAAATTAGAAACTTGGAAAAAATAAATTTTCCTCGATATTTTTGCTTCGGAAAAGTTAATTCCAAATTAATCAGAAAATTAGTTATTAGAAAGACATCCGTAGATTTCGGGATACTATGTATTGTAATTTGTGTTAATTTGATTTTAATTTTCCAAAAAAATACTCACGCGAAACATATTAATACTTAATGATGTCACACCAAATGCACATAGAAAGAAATAGGATATTGAAAATGCACAATACATATTCTCGATAAATCTTAAAAAGTGAAAACAATAGTAATTATATTAATAATTAGTAATTATATTAATAAATAATAAATTAATAAATAAATCATAACAATGACATGTTAATTAAATATAATCTTGTTTCGTAAAAATTAATATAATCTAAAATTAAATATAATCTTGTTTCGTAAAATATTATTTTTTATTATTGAAATTTTATATTTTATCCTAAATTATAAAATACAAAATTATGTACGGAATTTATGTCTAATACTTACTCTAAACAATGTTGATGAGTAAGAAAAGCATTAAACAGTTTAGTGCAAAGTTTGCATTCAATTTTTAAGGGTGTTGTTCTTGATAAATTTGTATTGAACACATATGTTAAGCGACAGCTATAAAAAAGTACAATTATATTGTTATATCATTAAGAACTTGAAAATTATAATCGATTAATTAAAAAAACTATTACTAGATAATATATTTAAAAAATATATATATTATATAAATAGATTTAAAAAATTTAATATGAAGTTATATAACATCTCTTTTCTTTCTTTATAATAAAAAATGTTTATATATAAAAATAATATTTTACTATAAGATTCATCCAAAAATCCTAAAAATTTCATCTAAAAATTCATCTAAAAATCCTAAAAATTTGAATAAATTAAAAACTTTATGATATCACCTAATGACTTCGAACAATCCACAAACATGCTGTATAAATGCCATAAACATAGTTTCCGTCGCCATAAGTACCGTCATACCCAAAAAATTAATTATTATTAATAAGAAAGCGATAAAGTAGAAATATCTCTCTGTATCAAAAAAAACTTCTATTTGAAATGGCAATTGTCGTAGACGAGGTTTGTCTAACGGCATTAAAATATCAAGAATATCTGGTACAAACATCATTGAAAGAAAAATGAATGTTCCCAAATAAACAATCACTGAAAGTAATTTCAATTTAGTGCGGGATAACTAGAGCTATAATTAATATATTTTTTGATTACTTACAATATTTATAGTTTTAATGTTATAAATATTCCTTATATAAATTTGTTCTTCATATATTTAATTTTTAATTTTATTATTTTGAAATTTATTTTCCTAATGAAATATATAAATTTTAGGAAAATAATTAAGATAAAATTATGTACTATTTTACTTACATCCAGAGAACACTGTATAAAATCTGGCCTTATACGCGTATTTTTGAATTATTTTTAATTCGTCTATGTCTTTTATCAAATTCCAATCGCGTTGGATTTGATCAAAAAGATTCTTTACCTACGATATCACGATCGACGTCTAAAATATCAATTAGATATTTGCTTTTCATGTATTTTTTGAGATCGATTTAACTTACGTGATTAGAATTAAAATGCACTATACAATATTTCATAACATAAACTATACAAATAATAGTAAAGGAGAAAACTTCAATTAATAACGTTGTATTATACTCATGCGTGGTAAATGTTGTCAACTAAAAAGCAAAGTTCTTAAATAAATTAAGTGTAAAAAATTTCACTTTTATGCACAGAAAAAATATTAATAACATCACATATATAATTCATATGTCTGCAAATGAATGTTACAAAATTTAAATGTTTCTCACATATTTTTCAGTAAATATATATAATCTTTTAAAAATTATATATATTTTTTTACATCATGCGCGATGCAAAATTTCGTGATATTCTATAATTAATTTTCAAGAGTATACAATCTTTCTATAATTAATTTTCAAGAGTATACAATCTTTTGACATAATTAATATCTCTGTTTCACTCACAAACCATTCACAATATTCAAACTATTCGATAGATAGATATATAATTTCTACAATTTACAGCACTCATTTTTTAAATAAATATACACATTTTTACGATCGTCAACAATAATGAATACATAGTATACGTTCGGTCAGAAGCACCTGTACTAGTCCAGAAATAATGAGTATACAAGATATGCAGAACACTCTAACAATTCGATGTTCAGACTTCTGGTAAGGCCACAGACCGACCGACGCCATTAAATTCCGGGTTAGCCCGTAGTACTCATTGTTGAAGAAATCCATTCCGATTGACAATTGCCGCAATTCTACGCACGCAGATTTGTAAAGATTATGTAGTTTCCTTACCATCGAAGCTATAGATAGCTATTACAATCTTACTGCACTCAGATTTTCCGTAATTTCATAATGACCATGATGCAGGGCATTACGAAGAATCGAAAATACCAAAAGGACATAATTTGTTAATTAGCTTATTACCAAACGATCTTCTACGTACGATTACATGAATCATTCGTGCAGTATAAACGCTCTGATTGCAACATAAAGTAATCAAAGCATACGTTTAATATAATCATAGCGATTTTCCCTCGGAAAGAACATCAGTGATTTACAGTATTTTTTGCGCAGACGCAATGCGCCAAAGAATTCCTCATTCTTTAGCTGTTGGAATAGCGGATTGTTGTGTAGAGTTTTTCTTTCAGAGACATGACAGTCGTGTCTGTTACAGTGTTAATATCGATAAACTGAGTAAAATGTATATAAAACTATTAAATTTATAATGTGATAATAATAATTTAAAGGTGCATGTTGTAATGATATATTTGGAAAAATATCGCTGTGAACATTCGAGTATTGTGTTTAAAAAATTATTGTGCCCTTATATTTACAAATTGAGTATTTTATAAATCAAGCATGTAACAAATATTATAAAATAATAGCGAAATGTTTTGCACACTGATTCTTATAAAGAAATAAAATATTATTCTAGAATTAATTTCGAAATATATAATAAACGAATTCGAAAACACACGTTTATATTGTAATTTTATGAAAATAACAAAAATAATATATTATATAAATATAACAATAATTGCTAATAATTAATTTTTTTCTGTTTTAGCTGACTGTAGATGCTTTGGAAAGTGTATCAAATGCAACTTAATACCATTATTGGAATTTGTAAAAGATTCAATACAAATGAATTTTACAAGAATTTAAAGGTTTAATCGCCATAGCATTCCGTCATCAAATCACATTCGAAATGCAACACCATTTAAAGTAAGATATTGATGGATCAGTCATTTGCAAAACATTTTCTGCCAAAGTCATTTTAAGTTAAATTTTACGGTACATTTAATAAATCTGTATAAATATTTTAAATACTTTATTCTTTATTTATATTATCCTCGAGCATTTTGAGTAATAATTTTTGAGACTGTAACGAAGCCAGTTTATACAAACATAGTTTTCCAAAAAAACATAATAATGTAATAATAATGTAATAATATTATATCAAAATCACACCGTTTATGAATTATTTCTCATAAAAGTAATTGTATCAATATAGTTTATAAAAACAATGACATCAATTAGATTAAATTGTTCATTAAATAATATTAACAATGCAGTACATATAACGTTTAAAAGTAAGAACTATAAATATTGGAACACAATTTTAATTTATCTTATTCATATTAACAGTTATATTAGTTGAGACATACATATAATTATATACAAATTTTTTAATCTCGTTTATCTTTTTTATAATAATTATTATATGAAAAAATCATTTGCATATACATCCACTTGTTGAAATAATAGCACAAGCGATAAATATAATAAAAAATATAACTGGAAAAGATATGGCAAAACCCATTTAAAGAGATTCTGTTTTCTTTAAAGCTTTTTATCACGTTTTTACGACTTACGAATGCCAACATTCCCAGTAAATTTTCTCAACTATCTTCTCCCGTAAAATGTTTTTATGCAAACAGCGTATACGTTACTAAGATTTCGCGAAACACATTCAGAAAACATCATAAGACTGTCGACGCAAGTTATAGTAACGCATTTCATAATTCTAAGACTAGCAACATAGATACACAACGTACATACTGCAATAGTTTATACCATCATAAGTTATCAAAAACCGTGTATACTTTTACAAAAAACCGATATTTTTTAATATGTAAGATATAAGAGATGCGATATAATTTCAAGATCTTCTTTTGAGAAACAATAATTTTAATTAATATACAAATTTAATAAAATATTTCTATGAAAAAATGAATTCAATACATCTAATCATCTAATATGATATCTATATATAACGACTTCTGCAGACTTTCTCTCATGATGTTAAATTAAAGCAACGTTTTACAGATATGACGGTCCGATGAACGTTTCGAGACGAGCGAGTAACAGCTGTACAAAATATCGCTCATCCACGCACGCAGAAGTGTGCGTTACACGCGTGACAGCCTTGCAACACAAGATGGAATGAGGATTCAGCTCATTGCGATGTACGCGCGTCTCTTCGTTGCGCGCTACAGTCAGCGCATAGCGCTGTTAAACGAGGCCTGGCATAACTGCGCGTTACGTACATCTCGCATATCTCAGCATGCTTCCTTCCTTCCGTTCTCCCGTTCCTCGATGAGAGCCGGGTCGCATACCTACCGACCGCAATCTACTCAATGTCGAATAACGGGAGCGCGTATCGATACGTCGATCCTCGCGTATATATATCGCGATCGACTAGATAAAATGTTCATCCTCTCAAGTGCAGCTAAGTCGACGTACCGATTGCCATCACCGAACACATACACACACGTAAATTGTTATCGCGAGATCGATTTACGATGCGCTACATCAAAGTGTCAGCAGGAGAATACGCATGATAAAACATCACGTATCGTACGAGAACGAATAAAACATTGCGTATATATTTTTCCGATCAAGAATAAAACGCAGTTTATCTCTGACTAACGTTATATGTATTAATGATATTGAAAAGATATTGTTCGTTTTCACGTTAGATATTTTCAAATGTTTATAATGACTATTATTTACGTGTGTGTGTGATCTCCAGATTACAATTTCTGCATTTGAAAAAGAAAACTGGCCTAAGTCGTATATCTGTTTTTTGCCATAAATTTATTAAAAACTACATATTTTCCCTAGATCGTGAAATTCCTGAAATGGCAACACAACAAATCTACAATATGATTCTACAATATTTATAGATCATGATAATAACGGTAAAACTAGATATAAAAGTATCGATGATTGTGTTAAAAAAATAATAAATATAATTTTTAATTTATTAGTCGTCTTAATTCTTTCTCTTTGTTCAATATTAAGTTATCATTATGCAATCATTATGAATTATTTGATCATGATTACATAGTTATTTAATCATGATTAGCATGTTTTTCATTGTCATAAGGATTTTTAAAAATTATATTCTATGTATTTTTCTGTTTCTAATTATAATTTGTGTATATTATTTGAGAAACTTTTTAATATTATTTTGAGATAATTTAAAAAACTAGTTATCAATTGATGTCGGCGAACCAGAGAGATAAGCATCACGATGCATTTCTATCCATATATATATATATATATTCGTTGATTAAATAGATATAATACATTTCAAAAAATACGTGATAAATGCATGAGAAATAAAATATCGAAATATAAATACGTATCAAGAGAATACGAGATAAAATAGATACCTTATCCAAGTTTCTCATTCAAATAAATTGTTTGTAAGAAGATAACAAAAATGATTAAAGTGTTATAATAAAAAAGAAAAAAATACATAGAATTAAGTATATAATTTAGCATTGATGCTTCTCTCCTTTTATTTTTTTTCCTAGTTAAAAGCTAACATTATTAAATCAGTTTAAAAATGATAAAAAAGCTTCTAAACTAAATAGGAAAGTAGCTCAAGTGGCAAAAGTGCTCTAGTAGTCCATCAAAAATTTATTAAAAAATTATAAAAGTTTATTATCCTTAGTTTTTCTAAATTTTAATAAAAGGTTAAATAAAAGTTCCTTTTGAGCTTAAACGAAAGTTTATATGTGGGTCCACCACTAACAAGTGATTTTTAGTTAAGTACTTTTCCATCCTCTACAGAAACTACAAAACAAAATTATATAATCTTTTTTATATTACAACATTTGTATATTATTCCTTTTATATCTCAATTTGGCAATATTAAAAAATATACAGCTTTCAAGTATAAATGTACTTGCGACCAAAAATATTCTTATAACATCGCACGTCTTCCAAAAATAAATGCGTATGTGTGTTAATATAAATACAAATTTTTATGCCTTTATGCCTTTAAGATATTATGTTAAGAGTTTCAAGATATAGCAAAATTTTTAATAATACATAGTTCAGTGCAAAACGTCATTGATCGTGTATAAAGATTCCAACGTAAAAATGTGCACGGATATCGTGCTAATTTCTGTTGTACAACATCGCTGTTAATAATTTCTCTCGCGAGGATACGGCATCTTACAACATGATAGCACGTGCAACATCGACGACTTACATTGTCGTATAAAACGCGTGTATCTCATCGTTCTTTCTTTTTTCTTTAATTCCGCGCGTATGTGGTTGTGCGTGTTAAAGAGAAATGGCGATTTCAGAGAGAGAAAGAAAGAAAGATTCTGGATGTGTGGTGGCTGCCGGTATCTTGCACCCCCTGCCCCTTCATGTCTGCATTCTCGACGCATAATACGCGATCTTCGTTTTATACTCGGAGTGGTTAGGGCTCTTCTTTTCTTCCCTTCTCTCCCTTCCTCTCCCCTCCCCTAACCGATGCAGCTTCCTTCCCGAATTTATCGCCCATCCGAATCGCGGACAAGTCCATATAACCCGTTCATGATCTCGGTTCCCACCTAGCCGGTGCTAAAGCCCGCGCGCGCTGTTTTCATTCCTGTATAAATCTCATTGAAGGACGATATATTGCACGTATTCCTTTTGGCCCGCTCACACATATCGGCCATTGAAATTTATTTCGCTGACCAGATGCGAATAACTGAGATGCATCATTGCCGCGCCGCCTTTTAATTTTCGTTCCTTATCGTTATTATTGAACGCACGTGGAAATATACAGGGTGTTCTCACATTCTTCGCAATTTTAAATGCGAGTAACAATATAATTTTTGGATACTCTATATTATGAAATGAAGAATGTCTCCACTAACTTAGTATTCTAGTATTCTACAACATTAATATTTACACGTAAATGTTTGAATAGATCTAATAATATGAACATGAAACATATTCTTACGCAATTAATTTTAATATAAAAGATTAATTTAAAATTATCCTGATAAATATTTCAGGAGATTTGATAAAAACTTTAAAAATTTCTTTCAAATTTATTCCCCTGATGTGACACGGATAAAATAATAGGCAAACAGCAAATGAATTGTATAAAGACAAAAGCGAGGTCGCGTAACTAAATGTCTCTTAATGTGACTTTGCATCCCTTGCAGGTAAAACACGATGCACGAGAGGAAAGAGTTTCAGAAACTGCTGCAAAACAATAGGCATAACTTCTAACACGGTTGATACGCCGGTTACCGCAAGCCGAAAGCAGCTAATACAGCAAGTTATCCACTTAGAAATCCGACGTAACACCGTGAGAGAAGAGTTCGAGGGGTTGCGGGGAAGGCGTAGGGAAGGCTGTTACCAACTTTGGATAAACCTGGCTAAGTTTCCTGGCTCGGTACTTACGGAACTGTCACGCGAAAACGCTCAAGTTTATTCTTCCCGCACGCACCGACAGAGAAATACCGCGGACATCGATTTACATAACGATTAAATTAATTCAGAATTTAAGTGCACTGTTTGCCAGAATCTTGAAGGAGTAACATATCCAGAAATCAACACATCAGAAAAATTGCCAATTCGTATTTTACTGGTAAGAAAGTTTTGTGATAAATAAATTTATCCATATCGACAAAAGTTTAAACACAAATTAATTACGTTAATTATTCAATATATTTCATTCATTTATTTATCGTATATCGAATTTTCTATATATATCAAGTAATAAAAAAGATGTATTTCCTATTCTAACAAAATATATATTTCACAGACCTCATCATTTATTTTTTAATTTTTGTCGATAAGTATAAATCATAAATAGAATCAGAGAAGTAGATACAATTTTAATTAACTATTAATCGAATTCCCGTAATATTACGTTGAGCATCATTACACGAAGACTTAATATAACCGATTGGACAATTTAAGAGTCATATTTAAAATTTTAATTCGTGAAAATTCTTGCAAACGGTTGCGTATGAAAGAATAATTTTTTGAGCTTTATCAATTCGTCGCACATGAAGAGAATATTTGATATCGCAATGAAATATTTCATGTCGCAACTTTAAGCTTTTCAATTCGTATGCCCTACAAAAATGGTCCGTTGTGATATTTTATCGAGAAAATATTGGATTCAGTCGGGGATTTGAGATATTTCAACGTAGTCCTGCTCTGCGAAGATAAGATTCTCATTCTCCATCAAGGTCACGGCATATCCACTTAGTGACAAAGCGAACGTTTGCGATTTTCAAAGGATTATCCCGAATTTTCGTAAAAGTTAGTTATACGTGAAAAGACTCATTATTTCTGCATAATTTTTTTTCAAATTATTTTGTATACTTATAGAGATTATATTTGAAATAAAACGTGTTTTGTTTCTTAAATCAGCTTCAAAATATAATTTTAAATCTTTTTGCCTCGAAATATTTATAAAGTGATATTATTTTGCCTCTGTATTACATTTTACTTGAATAGGTCGCCAAGAGAAAATCGAAGGGTGCCTTCGACGTCTCATCAGAATGGGACTTTCCTCGACAGAGCAAACACATTTCCGACATGTTCGATAACGTAAAAGTAAAGAAAGGATGAGATGCGGAGGAGGAATAGTGTATGCAGACGCGAGCCTATATCAAAAGTTCACTTCCGTGGGGTCCGCGAAAAGGGAGACGATGACATGGCTGCGTCAGGTAAGTAGACTCACGACGAAATTGGTTTCGATGCGTGTCGGCGAATGTCGAACTTTCATCGTGATACCTCCTTCACTTTAGGCAGATATCACTGTACTTTCGTAGTCTCAAAAGACTGTAGAAATTGTTCAAAGAAGCGTACGCACAAGAAATATTAGTCCTTACAGTGTAATACGCCTCGCAATTTATATTTTTATATTTGTACTTATAATATAATTATTTTTTTATGTCAGATGTAAAATGTTATAATAAAAATAACATAATAGAAATGTGACCATCATTTTTGATCACCGTTTTTTTTTGTTACACACATTTTAGAAAAGTTATTTAATTAATCGGAATTAATAAGGACGAGCTATATAATTCATCATAATTTTCACAGAGAAAAGGGGATAAACGTATTGCACAGGAAAAGATATATTCAGCCTAGCAAAATCCCGCAATCAACGTCAACCGGATTCATAGGATGATTAAAATAACTACTTGACAGGTAATTTATTAAAAATAATGCAGATTTTCTCTTTCTCTAAAAATACAACGTGTTATGAGTTTTACAAAAATATACCATCGATCTATTGAGGTAAATCGCAATTAACATGTCAATTTTGAAAAGCTCATAAATAAATTATTTTTTCTGTTACCTGTTGTGATAATTTATACTAAAGATTGTTGTTATGTAAAAACACTATTTTTCATAAGACTTATTTTGGCTTCTAGAAATGCTACTTTTGTGTAACACATCCTCTTTAACTCGCATCGATAATATGCTGAACGTTCAAAGGTTATCTGAACGGAATTGTGCCACGCTGATAACAAGTATGAAAATATAAAAGCATGTGAATACTCACGATATCGAAGTCCAGATTCTCGGCAATCCAGTCGCGTCCCTGCTTAAATTCATCGTGAAGGCCCATGATGTAAAGAGTGTCGAGTCCGTCAACGATGGTCGCACCCATATTCGATGCCCCGAAGATGCTGGCACTGTGACCTCTCTTGGAGATGGGTCTCAATTCGTTTTTTCCCCATGCATATCGCACGTAGTTGTCCCAACCGTGCTTCATCATCTGTGCACAAGAAAAACATGCAAACGATTAGCGCAAACTTTTTATTACGAAAATAAAAATATCTTTCACGATTATGTAAAATAATGTCAACAATTGCAATCAAATTTTTTATAATTAATATAACTTATGTCTTCTTTTTGAATTGTGTTCTTCCTTTAATAAGAGAATTCAAACTTTTTCGAGAATTCAGTACATGTCACAGATTTTTCATAAATTTAGTTTTTTTTATAGACTTCAGAATTTAAAAAAAAAACAATCTACGAAGATTCGTTGCCAAGCATCTTTCTAAAGAAATACTTGTACAGAAACCTATATAAATTAAGTTGACGTTTCAAATTTTCACAAATTTTTAAGTTTTTCTATTATGATTAAACGTGTGTGCATATACAGCCGAGGTAGCAAGCACACATCGAATCTCGAGAATGACGGATGCGTCGCATGAGCTGTTCCGTGAATAACAAATATATTGCTCAATGTGTGTGTGTGCGTGTGTGTGTGTGTGTGTGTGTGTGTGTGTGTGTGTGTATGTGTATGTGTGTCCGTTCCGTTGAACGTTATTTTCGTTCCTCTTGATTTTTCGAACCATTTGCCGGGCACCCGCAGTCATGGTCGCTTCATCACGTTTTTATGACGGCATAATTTAGGGGCAATATAATATCGGAAAGGTTTGGCCAGTGGCACCACCAGGAGTGAGTCCCCCTGCCTCCCTTTTTCCCTTCCTTCATCCGTCTCTCACTCTCTCTTTTTCTCTGCGGCTACGATTGTAATAAAAAAAAGATAAAAGCGGAAATTAGAGAGGGTGAAGAACTGCAAAATGACAGAGAGAAACGCGTGTCATTTGATAACTATCTACGCCCTGAATCGCGAAGCCTTTAAATGTGATTTTCTCGCGACTATTCACGCAGCAGGAAAGTGATAAGAAGAGGACGGTGTTTCCGTTATTATTTCGAGATATTCTATCAAAGTCAGTACAATGTCACGATACTCGAGACGCGTGGATTATCGGAAAGGCGATAAGTTTGCGATAAATGCGCAAAGATGAGGCTGCCAAGAGGCACGGTGTCGCGATAGAGATGCGAAATTCCGAGGAGCTCGAAAGGCGATGCCGTTGCGTTATTACGTCGGCCTTAGAAGGCGGGATGCGCTGGCGATGCAGAAAATTGCGGACGACAGATCGGCACGGGTTGACGCGGCATTCAACGCCTTCCACCATTATCCACGTAATCGCGGATAATTTGTTCCGTAGAAACCGCGGCGAATGCACGGCACATAGTGGACTTGTAGCCGGTAATCTGGTTAACATCCATGTTAGGATTAAACCATTAGCCCCGGTGTCGGCCGGACGGATCGAAGGGAAACGGCGAGGAGGCGATACGGAAGGAGAGAGAACGCGGCGAGGTGGACGGAGGGCAAAACCTCGTGTCGGAGACGTGTGGCCTCCGTTCAATTATTCTCTCTTTGTTACGTCACTTCCGTGGTAACCGGATTCTCTCCCCGGACTCGTCCGGAAGACCCCGCTTCTTTTTTCGCTTTTGTAATCCACCGAGTAATCCATTAAAACTATTTAATGCGGTTAAGCAGTAAGCACTGGCACTCGTACGAAATACACGCGAAATGTCTGTTTTAAAATCGGGAATAAAATTATGCTACATTTATTTATTTGACAAATTTGAAATTCGAACATCGTTTTTTTTTTACACAGTTCCGAGTTTTTCCTTCCGAAACGACCAATTAAAAACAAAAAGAAATTATTAATCAAACTCGTACATACGTATTTTAAATTTGTCTTCAATTAATCCCTGAGCTAATGGATAAATTCATTATTTTACGCGCATTATTCACACCCAGACAAACCGCGACGCCGGTTGAGATAGACGATATGAATTCTACAGAGGACTCGTGGGAGCTCTTTCGCGTTTTGAGAGAGAGAAAATATCCTTTCAAATTGCCTGCGCTCCACGCATTTCCATTAATAAACAAAACGCACGCTGGAAGAGAGGAAAAGCAGCGGCAACAGCAGTAGCAGCTAAAAGGGTGAGAAGAGAAAAGGGTAGCGATATTCCGTCAGGCGATTGAGTATGCACGGGTACACAAACAAAGCAAAAGCCTCGGATACTCCATGGGAGATGCACACAAATACGCATCGGCGATGGCTTTGCGTATGCGCGGGTGTGTATATTGCCGATACCGGGCACGTATAAGTGTACTTAACCGTAGCGCTTTTATTTCCTATCTTTATTTCCCGCGGTTTTCAATTTACGTTATTTATTTCCCTCCGTCCTAGTCGTCCCGTCGCGTCGATGTCCCACTGTGATTTTGTGAAAGCACCCCAATTCTGCCTCCGTCGCATACTCACACATATATGCACACGTACGTACACAAATGTGCACGCACACACGTGTGTGGAGAGGCACATAGATGCGCGTGCCTTTTAGAATCAACGCCACATAGGAGCAACGTGCTCCTGTATACATGCTATCCTTTTTTATCTGCGATACAACGAGTCTGGATCGACGTCACGAAGCCTTTTAAAAACCCTCACCCCGCACGTCATAAAATCTAACCGCGCCCGAGCAACACCACGCGCAGAGAGAAGCGAATGTATAGTTTACGCCTTGCACCTTTGAGTAAGTCAATCGAGACGAGAGAAAAGAAACTTGATATTTAACGGAGAAAAGGAAACCGAATTAAATGGAGCCGATGAGAAAGAAATAAAAGAGAAAATATATGTGTAAAGTAAACCAAGCTCTCTCTGGTGGAAGAAAAATCTATTTTCATAAAAACACTATATTTGATGAATTTTTCAAGTATTTTTCTATTCGTCAATGATATTTTATCGCGTAGGAATAGTAAAACTCGTCAAAATTTAATATATACGGTGGCCATTCTTTTATCTAATCAAATTACACAAAATTATCCTCATTGTGTAGTTCCAATAATCAACGATGCGTCATTTCCTGCGTACGCAGGGATCTTTTTATCAGCTGATACATCCAGTGGTTATAATTAGATAATGACACAAAATGCGCTCAATTACGACACTCGTGACTCGTTACCGGATCTCATTAAAACGCGAATAGCGAGATATACGACGTATTTTCGCGATTAAATATGTAATTACGTACGAAAGTTACTCGTGTGGATGTCGGCGCGACACAAGACTGACTATTGTTGAAAATAGATAATGAAAATTTATATGGCGATTATTTTACTATATATGAAGAGTTGTATGCTTTTATCACAAACTTATAATAAATTCATTATGATCGTAAATATTTCTGATATTCTTGTTAGACACTTTTTTATATTTTCATCTTCATTAAATATATTCAAATTTGCCGCAAATAAGTATCTCTGGCGCAAAGACGCTGCTGCATAATTGAAATCAAGTACACCGTGGAAAGAAATAGAAATGCATATTCATGCAACGTGTTGCATGCGCTTCGAGTGGCGAGAGTAGCGGAAATTTTACTCCTTTTTGCTACACGAAGGAAATTTTACTCGTTTTTGAACATATTCGCAGGTAAACTTCATGCGATATGCAATGAGTTTAAATTCGAACAGAGATATGTTATATGTTTATTTCCAGAAAGGTGACGACAGGATAAAGATTTAAGAAAGGCGCGAAAAGAAAGAGCAGGACAAAGGGAAACGAGACGAAATAAGATGACAGAGGACCTCAAAATTCACGGCTGGTAAACTTTCTGCGGGATCTAATATAATTATAGCTTTGTTTATTATTGTTAGACGAGCCACGCATTGTGCAAGAGCTCTCAAACTAACGCGAATTAATCTCTGCTAAGTAAAACCGATGGAACCGACATCCCCATTTCTCTTCTCCCGCGCCGTTTTGCGAGATTCGCGGATGAAAGGTTGCTTCAGAAGAGACCGCGCCACCCATCGCTTTCTCGCCTCTTCTCACCTCCCTCTTCCCTTTCCTCATCCTGCTTCGCGGACTCCATGCTTCTATATCATTGTCCCGTTCTGCCTGCCTTAACTAGCATCTTTCATTAAAGGAAGCCGCCACCATTGTGCCCGACTTGTATGATTCGATAGACAATGCGACTTCGTCGGAAATTCCCGCGGCTGCCGTTCACGCCGCGTGCTCTCCCACGAAATTTCCGGATTCCTATAAACGCTAATCTGCGCGAAGAAGGGAATATATCCTGCAGACGCTATCGTAACGAAGCCTGAAACTCTGGAGCTGGCGAAAGGGAACATTATCGATGGCATGCGTTCAACAATAACCATACAATTCGATGTAATTGAAAGTCTGATATACATATAGCGTGTCCTCGTAAGTTTATCAATTCGGGAGAAAGAAAGAGAAAGAGAAATCGAAAATATTCGAAGTTATTTTCAAAAATAATAAAAGACGTAATCTAGATGGATAATATTTAAAAAGAAATTTGATGAGAAATCGTAAAATCATTTTTAGAAACTGAAATATGAATTTCTGAAAAATGTTTTTTCTTTCTTATAAGATTAAAACTCTATATATTTTCTCAATCTCGATATTTCAAACAAAATCTGATAAAAATTTATTCATATTGTAGCATTCATTTTATACATCATATATACATATGTATATACAATTATGCTTACAAAAAAATAAATAAAATGTGTAGACATATAACATGTAAAAAAAAGATTATAATCTCTTAGAATTTATATAAAATAAAAATTTAACTCGAAAGAAAAATAGAATAAAAATGAAAATAATTAAATTTCAAAGATGTCTAAAAAATTCATTTTATTTAATATATTTTAAAATATTTTATTCTGAAATAATTTTTATTAAAATATTTCTATTCTCAATGATAATCAATAATAATTATTCCAAATTCGAGAGGATAAAGTTTAATACGAGTGATTAAAAAAGACCAAAAAATGCGGACAAAAAATAGTGAAACAGATATAACATGATCACGCCTATCATATTAGTTCGACTAAAAACAATTAGTTTGACAGCTATCCACATTTTTCCGTATGGAATTATTCAAGGACCGTGATGTAGTAATTTTCCTTGTTTTTGAAATTACCGATCGTAACGCCATTGACGAGGTGAATGAGTTTAATATAACTGGGTTTTTCACCAATGACAAAAAAAAAAGAGAGAAAATAAAGCAATTACAACAATCGTAAAATCGATAGATTAGAATATTGACTCGTGTAAATTATATTAATTACATTTCTCTTCTCTGAAATTTTTTATTTTAACAATTTTTTTATTTTAACAATAGGTAGCAGACTATATACTGCCATTTTCATTATTGAAATATCTTAAATTATATCTTAAATATCTTAAAATTGATTTTATGGAAAAATGTTTTCCATAAAATAAACGGAGAAGCTGAACAGATATTTATATAATGATGTAATTTTAAAGTTCGAGCACATATATATGTATTATACACAATTTTCAAAACTTTAAACATAATATTCAATATATTTTTAAATAAATTTAAATACATCATAAATTCAATATATTGTTCTGCGCGTGTAATTCAGCTCTCATCATCATATAATTAAATAAATGTTTAATAAAAGTACTCTCACCCTTTCTCTATGAAACATTTATAAACCTTACAAATTAAATTAAATTATTATTTTGAATTTTTTTAAATGTTGTTATGTGAAATATTACGTGAAATATTATGGCTAAGAAAATTACCATTTTTATTCGTAAATATATGGTATGTAATTATTGTCCCTTGCAATTTTCCTTGCATAATTAATTTTTTCTTCACGTTTACACGATCGTTTATTGAGGCACACGATTAAATGCATATCGTAAGGTGGAGCACGAACGCTTAATTGAAATCCATTCTGAGCGTACAACGTTTCGTAAGTTATGTCAGTCCACTGCTAAATTGCTTCGTTTGGAATGAACGCCTCCGGACAATGTATAATCCATAGATAACTTGCAGTCGAGCATTATGAAACGATAAGTCACAGTTCTATATCCTTATAATATTATAACCACAATTGCATGTAAACAAAAAAAGTTATGCAATTATTTCCATTATATAGTTACAATTATTTTCTTTGATCTTTTAGAGTCAATATTTTAATATTTATCAACAAAATTATCTAAAATATTATTTAATATAAAATTTACTAATATCATTTATTTTATTAATGATATTATATTTGTCTTTATCTTAAAATAAATATTGAGATATTCGTTTTAACGTGATAATTATGATGTAACTTTTTCTCAGTCAAAATATTGACTTATTAAAGATAAATTTAATAATGGAAATATTCTATTTCTTTTTCTTGTTTTGATATTCTATGTCTTTTTATTTTTACATTCTTTTCTTCTAAACTAAATATATAAATGTAATTAGAATATTTTTTTTCTGAATGAGAATAACTTCTCTTATTAAAAGTAAATTAGCACAGGTGTTTAATTTTTTCTTCTCTTCTATTTTTACATTATCAAAAACAGATTATGAAAAAAAAATACTAATGATGTTAAAAGCTTATAAAAAACACACAATCATATATTATATATTAATATATTAAATACTAAATATATATGTATGACATTTCTCATTTGTTTCCAGATATATAAATTGAAATACCTATCTCATGATGATGGATACGATCGAATTAATTAATCCGCGCATCGAAGTGTGAACTTTTCCTTCGACAAGCGTTTCGCTTCTTGTCATAGACAAGAGTCAATTAAATTCTAAATTGAGATGATTGCATTGAACTTCTTGTTAGTCATACTAGTTAAGTTATAAAACATGACAATTAATCGAGTTTGTCTCACTTAACTAGACAGTTATCAGTTATTTGTTTTTTTTGCAACTGTCATTTGTTCGGAAGTTAATTGATTGAGTTTCATTTGTCGATTTCTGAAGTAATTCAGCATATTGCAATTGATTAATTTCATTGCCGAGAATTAGAATTTCGCATGGAAAAAATGTATGTTTTTTATTACATTATTGATACATCTTCTAATTTAATACATAAACGAAATCAATATTCTATCTTGCAATACATTAATTTGGAAACAAACACATTAATTTATAACATCTCATAAATATACAATTTATTTTAATGTTAATAAGAATTTCAGGATATATTTCTTAAAGAATTTAGGAACAGAATTTTAAACAGATTAGCTAAAAATAACATTAAATATTAATTACAAAGCTAAAACTTGATTTAAATTATGATTGAATTTTAAAGCAATTTCTTCGAACATTTTTCTTTTACTCCAAATTGATCTGACGGAAATTAAAGACACAGTCTCGTTTAAAGAAATTTCGTTTCATTAATGCATGTCGTCCTGACTGATTTTCTTTTATTTTCTTTCTATCCATGCTTCACTATAATCCAAACGCGAATATTGATGTGACAGAACGAACAAAAGATCCATCGGTTTTCCCTACGATCCTCTTTAATTTCCGCCTTCTATGACGTTGCAGTGACAAACGACGCGGCAGCAGTAAAAACCACGTTCAACAAAATGAGTTTTTGGAAAGTCTATGTAAGTCCGAATATGCATATCAAATGTAGGAAATTGAGTATTTCATTTTAAACCGTATTTTTCTATCCAAACAAAACGCGAAATGTTGAATCATATTTCGAACTTTATATAATTTAAAAGGAAAATATATCTAATTATAATCAAAAGAGAGAAAATACATACACACATACATACATATGTATAATAAATACGTGTATAATAAATACGTGTCTAAAATCAAAATAATCGTATTTAAAGAAGCACTTACCTAATTTTTTTATACTTAATGCTAACTTAACCTTCTCAAATCCCAACATGCAGAAAATCAAAACCCGATGCAATCTTACCTCTTTAACTTTTTCACGACGCTGATTGGTTACGTCATCCAGAGGCGGATTCGGGGGTCTAATAACGTAAGCGCCAGGAACAGATACGGCCGGCGGTCCGATCGCCGAAGGCTCGGATTGTTTATGCTTGATATCTAAACGTCGATCTTTATCCTTATCCCGGTCTTCGATCTCAGGTTCATTCTGCCCGGGAACCACATTCTCCTGCACCCAAGCGGGATTCAATTGCTCGTTGCGTTCTTCCGGTGCGACACCCCGATCGATGACACTCGCAAAAGTATCGCGTCGCGTTACGATCGTGCCGGTCATCAAAAGAAGGATCAGGATCACGGACAGCAGTCCGCTGATCGCTAATCTCTGCATGAGCCTCATGTCGTCCAGACACTTGCAGCTTGACCAGCCGCCTGGAGTCTCGGACTGGATTGCGCTCGTATTGGCAGAGCTACGAGTAGAATGTGAAAGATCCTTCAAATTGATCATTCGTGTGGCGGCTTCATTTTGTAACGCCAATCAATGAAAACTAGTATGACGCGTGAGTAATCATCATTTTTTTAATTGTCATTTCTGGATCGACTTGAAATTTTAGAATCACGATTCGCTTTATCAACATTTTATTTATGTAATGATCATATTTCCTGCATTTTTTATCGACATAATTGAAATAATTGAAATATATAATTGAAATAAAATTTTAAAATTATTTTAAGAACGAAACAAAATTACATATAATCACTTTCGAATGAATGGAATAGTTCGAGATAGCAAAGATAAAGAAAACCGCATAAATTTTTTTTTCAATTTTACTGTTATATATTTTTAAAATTAATAGTTAGGAATTTTGCTCAAATAAATAAATAAAAATTAAATCATTTATATTTATATTTTATTTTTATATTTATACTTTTCCGATCTATTTAAATTATTAAAAAATATATACATATAATTAATTTCTGTGTTAATCGGTCTCTTTAATTTTTTCATGTCATTAAATTATTCAATATTTAAATTCGATCGAGAGAATTCAATCTAAGACAATTGATACCGTACATCGGAATCATAAATATGAATCACAGCATCTCGTGATACTTACTTGCGAATCACCTGTTGTATGTAATTCGAACACGGCGGCAAATATGTGTAATTTTTATTCCAAATTTTTTATAATTAGTATGCCTTTTTAAATTCCTTGGAGAGAACTAATCTGGCAAAGTTAAATAAGCCGATTAGATCTTGCGATTATCAGCAACTGTGAAGAAAAAGAATTGACTGTGTTACCTAACGTTAATTGAAATCCTGAACGAATAAGAATGATTCGAACGATTAACGATTGTCTGCAATCAGTCATTATAAGTTTGAAATCGCCGAAACTATTACCGGCAAATTCATTGATTCGATATGCGAGGCTGAGCCATCTAGTCGAAGGCTAAATCTAATTTTTGAGAAGGACAGTTACATCAAAGTATCGTATAAAAAAATTAAAAGTTATACAAATGTGCGAGTGGTGCAAGGGGAGGCGAATGGTATCGCCGATCGCGAAAAAGGGAGACGGGCGAAGGCGCAAAGAGAGTGAGAATCAAAGAAGGCGAGATAGTTTGAAGATTCCAAAGTCTCTGCCGAAATGTGATCGCTGCATTTTTTATCGAGCTCGGGGCATCGCAAACGGTTTCTCCGGTCCTCCTTGCATCGGAGAGCCCGCGTGCATTTTACCGTCCGGTCGCTGCAGGCGTTACACCTGCAGATCTTGATTCTCTTTTCTTTTTGACCGCGCTACGTACCCCCTCGGCGCGGCTTAAGGTCCATTGATTTTATTTGCTCGTTCGTTATTCATTTCCCATCCGATGGAATCAGAAATTTTTAAAACTTCACGTTTTAAAAATTTCAGTTTCAACAGCGATAATTCCTCGTAATCATCATTGATGAATATAATTGAGAATTATTGAATAGTTTTTTTTTTTCATTTAAAATTTAATCCATTATTGCATTTTTTTCATTTAAAATTTAATCCATTATTGCATTTTTGAAAGGCAAAATACTTTGTTCTTATTTGATTTTGTATATGCAGTTGTCTATTGAAAATGTCTTAGGAAATCTCTAATCTTTATAATCTTATATCTTTATATATAAACTTTGTTATTTTTTTTGATGATTTTAGTTTTTGAAATGCATATTTAGACGTTATACATTTGAAATTGTACTCTTCCTTAAATATAATTAAATATTTAGCAAAAATTGTATATAACAATATTTATTTTTCATAATACAATGTCTATTTTAAACTTTTATTTGAGAATTAATGGTATTAATGTGTTATCGAGGCTAATCACTTATTTATTAAAATTAATGTAGTAACCAGAATAGGACAAGCTCACTTCACTTTATTACTGATGTGAAACGACAAGTTAGGAAGCGTGAATTCTACGAAATATTGCGCGTTAAATTATTCACAAGGACACGAGTTTGTAGTTTGGTAACTGTCGATATTGCAAAATATCGAGGTCGAAAGTTTGAGATATCGAAGTTCAGGTAGTGCGCGTTTCAACGTTGATTCAACTCGATCGTAAGCAATGGACGAGATAGAAATAGAAAGCGAAAGGAGGGATGAATTAAAAAAAGATGCAGAAAACGAGAGGGGATGGAAAGAGAGAAAGAGAAAGAGAAAGAGAGAGAGAAGCAATAAAAAAAAGAAGAGTACGCGTGATGGCGAAGACGAGAAAGGAAGAGTGGAAAGGGAAGATAAATCGTCGAAGCTGCACTCGGTGGCCAATAAATTGCGCGGCACAACCCCGAGGTTACCAAGATTGCTACGTGTCACATTCTTGCGGAAAATTGGACCGATGGAAGTATCTTAAAGCCAGACAAATATGCGCAATGGACACGTACGCGAACGCGTCAGACCACCCACCCATTTGTGAAAAGCTCGAATGAAAATCAGTACTTGTTGACCATTTCTTCGATTTTCGATAAATACAATAAAGGTGAGTTTCTACCTTTTCGTTCTTCCATTTTATCTCACACACGCACACACACGTACACATGCGTTTGAAATGGCATAAGACAATTACTTTCTCATTAATCATTGATATTACGCGTCAGAACGGAGTACAATATTATGTACTGGAATGTAAAACTACTTTATTATACATTATGGGATAATTTGTATGAAACTATAATACATACACTCTCCTATGTTTTCTACCTCATTAGAAAATTTAACCTTTAAACCTAAAACAAAGTGAAATAATAATGCAATTTTGCTAAATTTGATTATAAAAAGAAGATTATTATAATTATCATTTACTTAGTTTTTGTAGTTTGTTATAGTAATCGAGTTAAGTATAACGTTGAAATTTTATGCTGTTTTGCGCAACAAATTATTTATAATGTAAAGGTTAAATAGCACCAATCTTTTATTCGCTCTATGCAAAGTAATAAATATAATCTTGTACATATATAATAAAATAAAATAAAATTATAAGACTGAATCTCCATTGCATACGTATGTATTTCTATTATTATTTTGAGAAACGGTATCGGCATTTTTTCATTCTTTTACTGATTCAATCTTTTAATTGATGCAATTTCAATTTAATAAAATTTTGATGATATATTAAGCATAATAAAAGGAAAAAATGATAATGAGAGAACTTAAAGCTTCTGTCTTATTTTTTTTAGCTCCTTTATCATGTTTTTAAGAGAGAATTATCCTTTTTAATATTCAAATTAAAATTTATTCTAGTTAATGATCTTTCGCACATTACTTCCTATTCATACGCTTTACGCGTGAAACGTAACCGCCCCTCGAGACAGGAGCTTCCTCCTTTGGATGCAGAGAACCGCCCTTTCGATCTTATTATTCCCGAAGGATAAGCGGTCGTCGATCGTAAAGGTCGTATCTGCCGGCACATCGAGTTCAATGCGGCACGCACGAGATCCGGCCACACCGAGGCGAAGGAGAATCGGACTAGAGAGAGGAAGATGAAGAAGAGAAGAGACGAGAAGCAAGAGCGAGACATTGAAAGGTTAGCGGGTGGTTCAACCAATCTTCCACTTCGTCCGAGGTTTTACGAAGGGGGTAACAAATAGGGGAGACAGTGGTACGGGATGGTTAGGGGGAGGGAGGGACGGGGGGGAAGGACGATAGCCGTGGAGAGATGGCGGGAGTACTCCAGAAGTTTACGAGAGGACCGGTGCATGAACACGTCAATGTGGAGCCCGGGGGCGTACCGGTGGTTACCGTCCCGAACGTCCGGCACGTGTGTGAATTCGTGTACACACTTACGTGCGCGCGAGATATATGTGTGTACGTGTACACGAAGAGAGGCGGCGCGAGGACCTTGGAATCTGCCCAAGTCGAGTGTCAGGACACACTGTACCTTACTCTGAATACCCGGCATTAAAGCCAACTATAACGCTCTTTGGATCTCGATTATCGGCGGATCCCACCTCTGGCGGAAGATGTATGACTTTGGTACGGAATGCCGTTAAATAGCATCCGGTATTTAAACGTCTAACTAAGATGTATGAATTAATATATTTGAAATGTATTATTTATTCTCAATAAGTACTTGTAAACTAGACTTTACCACTTTTATGCTGATATCAAATCAAATGATAATTTTATTACCTCGAGATTATTCGACAATTGTCAATAATTCAATGTGAGACTTAAGTATGTTTTTATCTATCGATTTTTCAATAATACTGATAATAATTCATCCGATTAAACCGATATGATCGATAAAAATATGTTTATCGATTATCTGAAAAGACGTCGACGCAGTTATATAAGAAAATTTCATCTCTCGAAATCAAAATAGACATAAGTTCATACAAGTTATCTAATTTTTCATCATGTATATTTCAAAATCAGGGACCTTATCTTTTTTTTATTTTGTCTCTTTTTTACTAAATGACTCAAAAATGAGTCAATTTCAAGGAATCAATTCGTCATTTTCGCGGTAATTATATCGATTAAAACACCTTCAATTTTTCTCGCAAGAAACAAGAACGTTATCGATTTATCCTTCGTAGATTGCGGTTACGAAAAGCTAGCTCTTTTTTCAACTTTCGCTATAATACCTCCTCGAGAGTACATTGTTCGCGTGTCGGTCCTAGCATTTGTTCCCGGGACTTCGTAATTTACTCAGTGCGTTTGCATGTTTTACAGACGTTATATAAAACGTCGGAAATATATGGCGTCTCAAATATTTAAAGTTCGCCAGGGAATACGAGGCGAGACCTTCTCGCTCCCTATCCGGCTGCGTTTGAAATTTCCACAGTCAATCTCTCTTTGCGCCCACCTCTGCCCCCCCTCTCGTCGCTCTCGTACCCCGCCACACCTCGTCGCGCCTCTTTCTAGAAACCTGCCGCTCCTCTCTCCAGAAACCCGCCACGCCGTGCAAGTCTGCAGAAGCACCGATGGAAGTTTGCTTTCGTAAGCGAACGTACCGCTTCTCTAACTAAAGCGCAAACGGAAACAGCTGAGAAAGGAGAAGGGAGGGAGAGAGAGAGAAATAGAGAGTCCAGCCAGGTGGTTCTCCAGGAAATCGGCGATGCATACTAGCGAATCGTACCTAAACTCCGAGGTTTGATTCCGTCTCACTCCCCGAGACTTCGGGCCCGAAGGTACGTCTACTTAGTTTGCCAACTCATTACCCAATTATCGTTATAAGATCAGAAACCGGTCCGACTTCGTAGGTAAAGGCGGATCGCGGAATAGTCGGGGTGGAAATCTAAAGCGATGCTAATTGCGCTCTTCCAAATCGAGAGGCCTCTCCTTTCGTTAGAGATACGCGAAGAGTGGATATTTGAAAATAAAGTTTCGGTAAAAGAGCCCCTCTCACCAGCATTATTTCGCGTTCGGATCGTGATCGCGTGATTAAAGAGCGAGATAGTGAAAGAGCGGCCGCGAGATAATCGTGAAAAAAATTTCCATCGCGTACCGCCCGAGTATCTGCGAATTATTAATTAAATTAACCGCAAGCGTAAAGTTGCATTTTTATGACATCACACATTAAGCGAAATGAATTCGGGATAGTAATTAATGATTCTTGTCAACAACAGTCGCTCACAGTAGTGTTACATATTCATACTTGTCCCTAAATATATAGATAGATAAATGGATACAGATGTATATGTGCGTGTTTGTACAAGGAAAACCGAAGACAATGCGGGCACCGTGTTAATCCCAGGATACCGCGTGTTTATCGTAGTTCGTCCGAGCGCCTCGAGGTCGTGGGTGGATGT